TCTATCTATCTATCTATCTATCTATCTATCTATCTATCTATCTATCTATCATCATCATTTATTGCAGTTCTCTCCGTCTCTCATCTGAATCCTGGGGATTGAACTCATGCTGTCAGACTTACTCAGGAATGCCTTTACTCCGTTAGCATCTTTTAACTCTTACCACCATCTTCCATTTCATTCTTTTTTTTTTTTTAATTGTTTTTCAAGACAGGTTTTCTCTGTGTAGCCTTGACTGTCCTTGATTCGCTTTGTAGACCAGGCTGGCCTTGAACTCACAGAGATCTGCCTGTCTCTGCCTCCACAAGTTCTGGGACTACAGGTGTGCACCACCGTGCCCAGCTACATTCCATTCTTAAATTCATCTTGAATTTTCAGTTGTAATTCAGAACCATTTCAGCACTTCCGCTTGGCTCTGTAGCCTAGGTGTGGCAGACACCTAGAGCATGCGCACTGGCTACCTGCGCTGTACCTTATCGGGGATGCTGTCCTTGTCGAGGTTAACGAGCTTCTTCAGGAAGCCCGTATCTGAAAGCAGCAGCTTTGCCGTCGCCCAGTTGGGTTTCTTTTGTAGAAGGATACACACGGCGTTCATCACCGTCAACACGAGGAAGGGCGGGCGTGTGTATACTCTGAAAGACGGGGTAAGCATCTAATCAGCTTCAAGTTGAGAGTTATGTTCTCCCAGGAAGCAATCCCAGAAGAGTACATCCACAAGAGTTTAGATTTATATTAAATGTTTAATGCAGCCTACAAAAGAGTCGGTTTTGTTATGACATTTGCCTATGTGTAGTTTTGTTTAAGCACTTTAAGTGTACTTTGCTCTTATGGTGGATCCCCTTCTGTGTCCCCTCTCCTCCCTCTCAGTGGGTCCCCTCCTTTCTCCAAACAGCCCTCTTTCTGCTTTCATGCTTTATGTATCTTTATATATTGTTAAATCTGGCTTTCGCATACAAGAGAGGCTATGCATGCATATGTACTTTTAACAAGCATTCCGATAAGAATTTACCAGTCAACATAGAGACATTGTACTATTTGGTTATTTTTTAAAAAATTGAGTGTCTTTCATACATGGATATCTTTGATTTGGGAAGAGTCAATGCATAATATTTAACTCTGAAAAATAATCTGAGTTAGAGACTAATCCTTTTTGTTCTAAAAGTACACAAATGCGGACTCATTTTAAGTGAGGGACCTTATGTGTCATTCTAGTTACTTACTGATGACCACGCCACGGAAACATTGCATGTGCATGTGCCCATGTGTGCCTGTTTGTATGCTGCAAGTCAGTCCTGCCCTTGTTATTTCAGGGCTAGCCCTGACTACCCCTGAGGGCTTTTAATTTATCCTCATCCCAGCGCCAAAGTCACGGATTTGGAGGCTCCGGGGCAGAGGAATAGACTGTGAGGTGTCTCTAGAGTTAGGCTAAGAGGATCATTACTGGAATGTTGCAAACCAGCTTCCAGCTACAGCGGTAACACCACACAGGAGAATCTTTACAAACAACACAGTACAGGCGAAGAACGCAGGGACAACGCTGGCCCACGTGGCATTGGTAGTCCTCAGGCAGAGGACAGGGACTTCTCGGCACAAGAGTGGTCTTCACTGAGCTGGTACCTTCAGCGAGGTTGCTCTGTGCCAGCAGACTGGGACCCTTCTCTGCCATCCTGCTGCCCAGAAGGAAGCCCAGGCGCAGCGGGGAGGTGGCGGCGGTGCGGGGACAGCAGCCACGAGCCTCCCTGCTTGCGGATGGTGCCTGGGAACGTGGGAAGGTACCGAGATGGCTTGGTGGTTAAGAGTGTGTGCTGCTCTTGCAGAGGACCTAGCTTTGGTCCTCAGAACCAACCCTGGGTGACTCACAACTGCCTGTAACTTCCCAGGATCTGCTGCTCTGGTCTCCATAGGCCAGGTCTGCACGCAGCTGCACTCATCCGCTCCCTCAACAGATGCATATTTAAAGTTAATAATAACATAGGAATTAGGGGGTATACAAGCTCTTCTGTCAGGAATGTCTTTCAGAACAAAAGTTGAGTGAATAGGAGCTTCTGGAAGAAAGCTGCAAGGCACAGGATATGTGTGTGTGGAGGTGGTGGGGATCTATGCTGGGGAAGGTTTGACTGCCATTAACACTCTAACTCCACCACCTTCTCCTGACACCTCCCAACGCTCACAGCTCCTTGGTCTTTTGCAGTCCCCCCCAAACCACTGAGCACACTCCTAAGACGTTTGTGGTTTCTGTTCCTTTGCCCTAGCCTTGCTACACGGCTGCCCACCTTCAACAAACAGCGCTCTGTTCTCTGCTACCATAGCATCTCATCAGAGGGGCTTCGTCCCCCTGCTGGCTGCTGTGCCCTTGGTGCCCAGGGCAGGCCTGTTAGAGGGTGCACACTCGACAGGTTTGCTGAATGTGCACATGGCTGAGAGCGAAAGCCTGTGGGCGAGGGTGTGAGAATTCAGCCGCCTTGCTCTGTTTCCTGTGTTGTAAATGTGACGAGGTTGCGGCCGGGGAGCTGGGAGAGTGTAAGGACGGGAGTTCAGATTCCCGACACCCATGTTAGAAGCTGAGCACCACAGCACAGTCCTGTGATCCCGGCGCGTGCACAACAGATGAACATGGGTGGGTTTGCGCTGCCCTCCCATAGCCTTTGTGAGTGCTGGGAATCTGGGTCCTCTGGAAGAGCAGCCAGTGCTCTTAATCACTGAACCGTATCTCCAGCCCCTTAATACATTACTTTCTTCAGAACAGTGAGACAGAGACTGACAGCCAACCAAGGACCGTGCATAGAGAGGACCTAGACCCCCTGCTCAGATGTAGCTGATTGGCAGCCCAGTCTCCGTGTGGATCTCTGAGTGAGGGGAGCAGGGGCTGCCTCTGTCATGACCTTGGTTGGTCTGCTCTTTGCTCACTTGCCCCTGATGATGCGGCCTTACCAGGCCACAGAGGAAGAGGATCCAGGCAGTCCTATTGAGACTCCATAAGCTATGGGCAGATGGCAGAGGAGAACTCCCCCTTTCAGTGGACTAGGGGAAGGGGATAGGGAGGAAGAGGGAGGGAGGGTAGAACTGGGAGGGGTTGAGGGAGGGGGCTTCAATTGGAATATATAATGAATAAATTGTAAAAAAAATAAAATAAAATAAATTTAAAAAAGAACAATGGGATACTTGCCATGTTTGGAGATGAGTGTTTGGAGATTTCCATTATTAACAAGGAAATCTCAAGTTAAAAATAGCCTATCTAAAGACTCAGATAAGGACCAAAGGTTCAAGTCTTTGTACCCTTATCATATTTCAATCTTTCCAGGGCTTTCTCGGTTATTTCTCTTCAGTCCCTTTTTTCACAACAGGATGCTATCTGGAAGAGACATACCAGGGAGACAAGCTCCCATAGCGCCCCCTTGAGGTTTGCATGAGCACTGCAGCCTCCAGTGTTCCTTGGCAGGTTCTCAGGGACCCCGGAGTGAGTGCTTGAGTGTTAAATGCTATGCTCTAACTTTGGAACTGCAGTTCAGATAATGCTTCACCTGACCTGTCCTAAGATGTAAAGTTTTATATACCAGTGATGGCAGTTTGGTTTCTAACAAATGTCTCCCAGGTTTAGCTGCGTGGTAAGTTTCCTTTCTTTGATCCACAAAATACTGGCATCCCCTAAAATCAATAACCTAGGGTAGACACCACACACACTGAAAGATTTACAGGAACCAAATGGATACAAGTTAATATTAAGTTGAAATTCAGACTTTTACCACACATTTTTGTTCCACTGAGAGGCTTTAAAACTCAAAATAGACAGCAAATTACTCACCTTAATTCAGAAATATCACTTTTATCCAGGGCATTCAGAGCCACAATTGACTTCTCTAAAGCGGGCAGCACACTTCTTAGCTCGTTGCTAGTTTTCTGCAATGGAGACACGATCCACAGTTATATATGAACAAATACAGTCGTGCATGTTGAAATGTTGGTGGGAAATGTGGGTAACATTTCTATAATATGAATAGACGTGCACACGTTTCTGACATGGCAGTGTTTTTTTCTTTTTTCTTTTATTTTTCTGAGACAGTGTTTCTCTGTGTAGCCTTGACTGTCCTGGACTCAATTTGTAGACCAGGCTAGCCTTGAACTCACAGAGATCTGCCTGCCTCTGCCTCCCCAAGTGGTGGGATCACAGGCGTGTGTCACCGCATCCAGCTATGGGCAATGTTTTATACACGGAATGTAATGTGTTCGCCAGTCCCTGATGAGAAGGCATTCATGGGAAGCGGAAACACTGAGCAACTTTGGCCTTGTTTTTCAGACTCAACAAATGGAGTATGACAGATGCCCCGAGAGGCGGGGTTGGTGGTGCTGGTAAAGGGCTGGATATGGTGGCCAACACTTTAGTCCTGGCACTTGGGAGACCAAGTCTCTGTGAGTTTGAGATCAGCCTGGTCTACAGGGCAAGTTCTCCGGCTGCATAGTGAGACTCTTGTCTCAAACCACAACAGCAACAAAACCAATGAAGAAGGCATCAGAAGCCAGCCAAGCCAGGGGTGGGGATGCATGACTCTAATTCCAGCACTCAAGAGGCAGAAACAAGTGATCTTTATGAGTTTGAGATTAGCTTGTTCTACCAAGTTTAGTGCCAGCTGGACTGATATAAACGAGATCCTCTCAAAAAACAACCTCCCCCCAAACTGAAACCAAGACAACAAAATCTACAAATATAGGCCATTTTGAAGTTACCCGGAGAACAACCTGAAATCTGTATTCATGTTCAGTGGTTTATAATGAGCCTTGTTCTAGGACTGACTTAGGCCTCGGGAGATTAGCTAGTGATTGCAGCTGGGGGGGGGGGTAAATAAATCAATTTATTTCATTTTATGTGGTCGCTTATTTGAGAAGGACTGGCTAGTAGCCAGGGTGGAGTTGCGCAAACGTACTCTACTGCACCATGCTGGCTTCTGCTGGAATGGTGGCTGGGAGGGACAGCAAGGAACAGAGGGTTTTAGAGCAAACGATGCAAGCGGCATACATCTGACAGCTGACCCAAGAACTGCGTGGCTCCTTGCCAGTGCTGCTCCTGGAGGCTCACGTGAGTTCCAACACAGTCTTCAGAGCACCCTGGGACAGAGACCATGCACGCCGTGCTCTCTGCTTTCCCCTAACAGCTTCCTGTATGGAGCTGGGGCTCAGAACATATTTGCTGGGATAAGATGAGAGGTAGCCACCGCAGGCCATCGCTGTCAGCTGTGGAGGCGCAGAGCCCCCGGAAGCTGGGACTCACTGAACTGCAGCTCACCTGAGCGTACTCTTCCACAATCCTTACTTCTTCAGCCACTATCTCCTCATCCTGCTTCACAAGCAACTGAACTTTTTCAACTATGTGTGACTCTTTCCGCAGCTTTTCCATCAGGGCTTCTTTTTCCTAAAGAATCAAACAGTTCTTCTTAGAATGGACTTTGACACATGACTTCTTTACAGCAGAAATCAAAAAGGTTTATTTAATAACTATATAATTTATAGAAACTTGCCTGAAATAATGTAACAGAGTAATTAGGATGGCTTCCATAAAGATGATCTCATACACATCAAGAAAGTCGACCAGCACTCAGTGGTTAATCATACTGGCTGCTCTTGCAGAAGGCCAGGGTTTGATTGCCAGCACCCACACAGCAGCTCACAACCATCTGGGACTCAGTTCCAGGGGAGCTGACGTGCTCTTCTGACCTCCACAGGCACTGGCCTGACCTCCTTCCATCCTTTCCTCCTCATGTTGCTTTTGGTCATGGGATTTTATCACAGCAACAGTAATTTTCATTTGGACAGTTATATGCTAGGATCAGATTTAATTGCTATAAAATAATTTCTTCAAAGTTGCACAGCTACATTGTGGCAACGCTGAAGTTTGAACTCATCTGTCCGCTGGCAGAACCTCTGCTTTCAAACACTGTCTGTATACAACCATAAAGCCTTTAGGAGACATTTAACACTAGATGTACCTTTGTTTTTATTTCTATTTGAGGGCTGACAACCAGCAGCTCTTCCTGCATTTCTGTGACTAACTCAGTTGCTTCCAGAATCTTGGAAAGTCCCATGTAGAAGCGATTCCTGAGGGGGAAACAAAGTGCAGCCTGACCTTTCATATCCAACATGCTTAAAACCACAAGGGTTTCCACGGGGGGTGTCCTAGCTGAGCACCCCTAATCTGAAAGCCCCAAAACGTCAAGCTTTTTGAGCTCTGTCAGCCTTCCAAGCATTAGATGTCGCACTAGGGGTGTTCGTCCTGAATGAAGAAGGTGAAGAGCACAACTCAATAGCAGCAAGTCTAATTGAACACCATGTAAAGAATTACACGCCATGATCAAGTAGCATTTATATTTTAGGGGTTTAAGACCAATTTAGGGTCTAAAAGTCAATTGACACATAACCCACCATATAGTAATCATCTACAGTAGAAAAATCACATGACCCGATTTACTGAAAATAACAGGAAAAAAAAAAAAAGCACTTGAGAAAACTCGTGACAAAAATACAACCAGGAGTCAGAAGGAATTTTCTCAGCTTGTTAAGAGGGAAATGGACTCACTTTGGACATAGGGTATTTGTGACAGGGCTTAGTCATAGCAGTTACAAGGCCATGAGTGGATACCACAGATCCTAGATGGAGGAGTGGAAGGAAGGTCAGTTAATCTCTCTTGATCCTTGTCTGGAAGGAAGCTGGGTCATTTACCAAGACTGTTCTCACCTTGTTTTAACTACTGAACAACAGAAATGTTAATCTCATGGAGACCACCCGGAAGGTGGGAGCCTCTGCTTGAGCAGGGGAGCACTGAACACTGTGTGTCTCCTTTAGCCTGGGTTCTGATGATCCCAACTGCTCTACAGTTAACTGACATGCGCATCCAGTATCAGTTATTAAATCTGACCCCAAACCCACATTAATAAATTGTGGTTGCGCAGGCTTTCACGTCAATGCCAGGCTTAGATGTGCTCGCCACACAGACTGAACTCTTCACTGTGCGTGGTGATGAAGCATCACATTTATCCGTAATTCCTGCTGCCTGGCTGGGGCAGAGTATGTACAGCGGCCAGCATGTCTTGAAACATGGAGCACCTGGATGAGGGATGGGGCTCAGTGCCACACGGGGCTGTGCTGTGTTTTAGCTCCGAAATGGGAGTCATCACCACACCTACCAGGATGGGTTCTGTCCAATGGCACCTGACAAAGCCGCTTTTCTCTTTAAGGACTTGTCAATTGGATGCATCACAACAGGCCTGTGATGGACTCCCATTGGAGTGTTTGTCCTCCCGTGACTGAAGGCCACCTGGGTGAGGCTTAACTGCAATGGTTCTGACTCTCCGCAGAGTCCCCAGCATGTGAGAATTTGGGATATGCCTGAGCAGATGTTACAGGGCCGATTCCTGCCCATTTCCTGTCTTTCCAGAAGGTTGTCACAAGACAGATTCTCACTGTCCTGGGTTCTGGTTCTTGATGAGGGGCTGTGGGTCTAACTTAATGGCAGAGTGCACCCCTAGCGTGCTTGAGTCTCTGGGTTCCCCCCCCCCCAGCACCCCTAGCAAGTTAAAGAGAGGGTGGAAAATATGTAAAAGCGGAAGGAGAGGAGCAGTGCTGTGAAGGTAGTCTTCTGGGTGTGACGTGGCTTTGGCACTCAGGATCCACTGCCGCTATGGTCACCTGGACAAGCTCATGTCAACAAGATCAGTTAACACCCCAGCAAGCGGCACTAAATAGGACTCGGTGGGTTCTTTAAAAACAACAACAAAAGAGAAGAGGACATGAAATGAAGGTGGGAGGACATGATGAGGGAGGTTGGAGGGTGAGTGAGGCTGAAGGTTTAGAAGGGGATGATCAAGATACATTGTATGGATGAAATTGTCAAAGAACAAGCAAAAGATGTTCCAACAACAAAAACAAGAGACCTAATTAAGCCTGAGGCTTCCTGCCTTATATCTGCTCCCTGAATTCTCAGCCACAGCTACTACCTACATTGGGCTTTGCAGCACTGTGACACACATTCTCAGCCATCTGCGCTGCAGTCATGGAGAATGGCACTTCTAGCCATCATCTGCACAGGGAGACACTGTCCGCGCTTGCTTCCACTGTCTGCATAGGCAATAAACTGAATCTAACAAGTGATCTATCACTGGCAGATCTGTCAGGTTTGCCATGACAGGGTGGTCTCTGGATGCATGCAGGGGCAGTATGGACTGCTTCCTTATGAGCCACTGTAGTCGTTGGCCGCAAGGCCCCCACGAGAAAGGTAGATTTGAAATCATTACTTTGTATTTGTATCTATTCATTTAATAAATAAAAGCACTGATGTAAAAACACACGTTTCAAAATATCCTTAAACAAACAAGCAAGCCCCACATGTTTCTGGCTCACCTCTTTGTCTCCATCTCCTCCTGTCTCATCCTCAGAATGCGAGTAAATGTTTCTAAGAACTTCAAGTAGCTACTGGGAGTGATATAATAGTATCTCCCAGTTTCCTCAAAGTATTTTGTACTCAAATCTTTAATACTTTTGTGGATTTCGACGCATGTTGGGGCAAACTGTTTTATTATACTCTGAAAAACAATAATTGTAAGAATTACAAGAAAGCGTACATAGAGAAGAATGGGCAGTAACTTGAAACACGGCAGCATTTCTGAGATGCAGAATGATGTGGGCACTTCCTGGGATGGCTCCATGATCATGAGAGCTTTAAACAAGAAGACGAGGCACATGAGGCAGCAGTGAGTGACTAACGACATCCCACAATCATCCTTACAGACTGTGGGCCCATTTCTGCTCGAGCCACCCAAAGACTTAGGGGACCGCCTCAACAGTCAGAGCTTGTCTCCGTTAGGGTTTCTATTGCTGTGATGAAACGCCACGACCAAAGCAACTTGGGGAGGAAAGGGTTTATTGGGCTTAGAGTTCCAAATCACAGTTCATCACTGAAGGAAGTCAGGACAGGAACTCAGACAGAACAGGAACCGGAGGCAGAAGCTGATGCAGAGGCCATGGAGGAGTGCTGTTCCCTGGCTTGCTCCCCATGGCTTGCTCAGCCTGCTTTCCTACGGAACCCAGGATCACCAGCCCAGGACGGCACCACTCACCATGGGCTGGGCCCGCTACCCTCAGTCACTGATTGAGAAAATGCCCTACAGCTGGATCTGATGGAGGCATTTCTCAGTTGGCCTTCCTTCCTTTCAGATAGCTGTACTTGTGTCAAGTTGAGATAAAACTAGCTAGCACACGGCCCTTGGAGCATTACCTTCTTTTCTTTCTGACAGTGTTTATCAAAAGCATGACGTTATAACACATTTGAGTACAGTAAAGGTCCAAAATTTAACAGCCCAGAGTAGAGAGAATGCCACTGTGCTTAGAATGTAGAGGCTTCAGGCCGAGACACAGCTCGGGCCTGTTGCCAGTCTCTAGATACCAGGCCTCACTGACTTCTGGTCACTTTTAACACTGTTTGTTGTGAGCTTTTTATGGTTCTGCCCCATCTCTGCCCTTCTCTGTCTTTGCTTTCTTCGGACACTTGGGCCTGTAAAGACAGGAGCCCTTTCTAAGGCCTGCGTTGAGTCTTGGGGTGGTGGGGGTGGGGATGGGGGTGGGGGGATGGGAGTGGGAGGAGGTGGGGAGGGGACGGGGTACTGCTGCTCAGTGTGGCCACATGCTGCTGGCTGAGAGATCACAGCCTTCATGGCTTAAGGCACTTACCTCTCTGTTCTCTATGTGCAGCTTTTCTTCTAGGTAGGAGTTGGCCACAATGAGGAGAGCCTCATCTGGCCATCTCTGTAACCAGTTGATGGTGCAGGAGCTAATCATAGAAGGGTAAATTCTACAGTTATAGCGGAAGTTAGATCCTGCTGGACTCATGGTCATGAAGACATGCAGATTTTTAAGTACTCTCTGAAAGCGACAGACATATACACTGTTAAAATGTAACCATCTGCATTGAAAAAGATACTATATTGAAAATTCCATTTAAAACTTCTCAGCTGTTTCCTAAATGGCTCCTCTTAGAGACTCGCTGATGTGGGGGGGGGGGGGCTGTCTGGAGAGGAAACTAGGAACCCACAGAGCCCTTCTGACCCATAGAATCAAGCCTGCTGTCTCCAGACTGTGGCTCCAGCCCAGCTTTATGAAGGGGGTTGCTTATATCAGACAGAGATGAGTCTGCGCTGAATGCCTAACCTTCTCTGGGGTGCTGGTGCCTTCAGCAACTGCCAGAAACTCAAAGCAAGAAAGCATTCAGATTAATTAGAGCTGAAAGGCAGAAAGGAGACACCAGAGCCGCAGTATAGTCTTAGTGGGTTATGGCAGGCAACAGGAAATGATGTCTTACACTAATCACCAGTTTCTTGTTTCCTATGATTCAGATAAATATTAACTTCAAAACTTCATTCAGCAACATGCCACTTTGCACACTGGGCAAGTCCCTTTGTGCCACGTGCAAGCAAACATCCTGGTAAGAGAATACGGACACTAGACCACTGCTGAAGTTGGCCGGTACCCACTTTGCCCTTAAGATCCAATTGAGCTGCTGCTACTGCGTTCTTCTTGGCAGGACTGGCCACAGGACACAGATTCTTTCTGTTTCCGCGTGCCACTTTATAACAAACCCACAGAGCTGCATGGGGCCTCAGCAGTCAGCATGCTTCTGTTAACTCAGAGCTCAACATGACATCTCTAGGTAACAAGCAACTATTTGCCAAAGAAATAGGGTAAAAATGAAAACCAGGAAGACTGAAGGGCATCCAGGCGCGCCCTCTCCATGTTTGTTCAACTGTGGATTCTATCTCTGGGGTTTAAAAACATGCAGATTTTTAAATACTCTCTGAAATTGATAGACATACACACTGTTAAAATGTTCTAGGGTCACATGGAGGGGAGGAGGACCTCCCCTATCAGTGGACTTGGAGAGGGGCATGGGAGGAGATGAGGGAGGGAGGGTGGGATGGGAAGGGAATGAGGGAGGGAACTACAGCTGGGATACAAAATGAATAAACTGTAATTAATATATAAAAAAATAAAAATTTAATTAAAAAATGTTGTTCTTTAGCACGTACTTAGCATCTGTAGCCAGGTTTAATTTTCAAATTCCCTTACACAGAAACATGCCCCCCCCCCCAAATAAGTGACCTTGCAACCCTTAGCACACATTTCGGCCTGGGTTGAGCGGTCCTAGCTATCACCCACTGCGCCCTTGGTCATCCAATACCTGCTCGTCATGGCCACAAGACAAGAATGACCTAACGCTCGTTAGAATAGGATGATTCTGGTTCCTCAGCTTCTCATGTTAGGTTTCCCCAAATCAATAATAGGCTCCAAATCTTCCGGAGATGGGCCCCTAGGTGAGTTCAGAATCCAATCCCCAGGTTCATCCAAGCTGACAGACGAAAGCCTGGATCACTGTTAGATCTGCATCTGCTGTCAAACTGCTGCTTTTGAGGCACTTGCTGCTGAGTTCGTCCTCACCCTTTGCAGTCAATTTTTTTTTCCTAAAATATATTTTATTTCCTGCTCAACTCCAGGGGCATTCAAAAGAGTGAAGGAATTCTTGCTTTTTCTGACTTGATACCAACATAACTGAAATGAAACCCTTATTAAGCATGAGGAAGGAATCTCAAAGTAAAAACTAATCTGTGGATGAGGTTTTCCCTTTATTGTATAGTTACTGTTTTATTTTAGAAATAATTAGCCATGTGGCCTCAGAGCTTTGTCAGTCTTTGCGGTACCTAGGGCGTGATATGTTTGTGTGTAGGAGTGCTGGATGTTACATTAGCTTTTTAAAGGTTATTTGATGAACTAAAGCACTTATATACAACTTGAACATCATGTACAAGATTATAAATATGATCTGCTTTAAAGTTACCATGACAATTTGATAAAATCCAGACACAAAATGGTACCTTTTGGAATAAGTCGAGTAAATATTTTCTGTCATCTATGGAACCAGGCTGCTCAACAAAGGTTCTAATTCTCAAAATAATAGAATCCAGCTCCTCATTTTCAAACATGTTAGAAACCTTTCCTGCACTGATAATGTAGTTCAAATCTTCTAGAAATGATGCCTTAAGGGAAACATACATTAATCAGGAATGATAAATCATACATTTTACTCTAAACAAATTGAGAACATACCAGCATATAAGGGCAACTGAGACAACTTATTGTAAGCTGATATCTTAATGCAAACTCATCAAAATCAGCTTCACCCACCCACCAATTCACATATGTCAGAGAGACATATGCTTGGTGCCCAGCGGATGGCACACAACTGGGTTAGGGCACATGGCAGTGAGCAGCGCAAGGGACCTTGCTTCAAGTGGTTCACAGAAACCTTAAAACACCTGTTTCTGCCCAGAGGAAAAGCTAGAAATAGCCTGGTGGAGTTAGTGTTTTAATTTAAAGAAGTCTTTTTTTTATTTCTCTTCCTTCCCCCTACTAATGTTCATCTCAGCCTTTAGCCTGAGATGGTTTTCTAGAAAGCCACGGTTGAAATTAGAACAGTGGGCTCCAAACATGGTAGAAATGGCATCTTTTGAAACCAGAAGGAAATGATGTTTCATAAACCTCAAACAGATCAGTGGGGCAGGACATTCAGATTTGGCAAAGGAAGAAAACAAAGAAAAGGCAGAAAATTTAGATAAAAATAAAATAAATGGCAGATTTGTCATGGTACTTGGTTTACATCAAATATGGCATCCAATCAAAATTAGCTTTTGATAGACAGAGAGCCAGAATTAGGAGAAAAAATATGGTAGAGTTTTAAATAACATTTTAAGTGCATTTTGTCAGAATATAACATATGCGACATCCCCTTGAATTTTGTCCTAAGGAGTAAATATGACCCAAGGTGACATTCCTAAGTTTGCTTTGACAGTAAAAGGACACACTTTGTGACAAGTAATGGGGAAGCTTTTGCTTGTATGTAAACAAGCGTGCAAGGAACACCCTCCCTCCCACCCAACAGCGACAGATCAAGGAAAGGGAAGTGCCCCAAGCTGCCTCAGCAACACAGATTACATACACATCTGTAAACAGAGAACAGAACTCGTAATGATACAAAGAGGCTGATTTTGCTACAGGGAGTAATCGCTTTCCAATCTGTTGATTAAAATGGAAAGGACGAAGACAGGAAACACTTCTGCTGTTTGTTTACTGAGAGCTACGGTAGGATTGCAAACACCATCTGTGGCCTGTGACTGAACGGGCACAGAGAATACGAAGGGCTGAAGTGGTGAGCTAGTAGGAACACACACACGTGAACATGAACCTTCTCAGGGGCACAGACATCAAGTTTTAGCAAGTAGTGAAGGCATCAAGCACTTACCTGTTCTTCTTGTAAGTTGGAAACCAAGACAACAGTGGGGGTCCCTTCCAAGCCAGCTTGAATAAACATATTTTTAAGCATCTCTTTGAATTCTGAGATGGCGTAGTTGTGAGCTATAGGCACTCGGCAGAGTTTGCATTCTGCCACATAACAGGCTAAGGTGGCATACATTTCTTTTCCACATCCATCAATTCCAACCTTTGCAAGAAAAAAGAAATAACCTGACATCTGATTCGTATGTCTTGGTGTTTAGGATTCAGCTCAGTTCGACACTATTTGTTTAACAGGGACAAGGCTCTGAGTTCCATTCCCAGCACACACAGATAAACAGCCATAAACACAAAGGAAGTGATTCCTGTGTATTTTCTGGAATTGATTAATAAGTATTAAAGTAATATAAATAAATAATAAGATACACTATAATTATAATAAATGTATATGTATATTAGATATCATATGTTTATCATAATAGATATAACAAATAACATAAAAATATAAATAATAAAATGATATAAATATATTTATGCTAGAAATATTCACAGTCAGAGTATTTCAGGCTATAAGACAATCATTACATTCAATATCTTCATGGCTTCTTAAAATATATGAAATTTTACTGTACTGATAACCTGGAAAATAACAAAAATTGACTTGTAAAACAACAGTATGCCATCACCAATATCTGATGCTTCATCCATAACACACTAGACAGGTATTTCTTTTAAGCAATAATGTTCTGTGGTGACGATGAAGTTGCCTCACGCACACATTTGTGAACACTCAGCTGAGGCTGGGGCTCCGTGTGCCGGGCACCAAACCCTGGGCTGCTCCCTGACACCACACAAAACAGGGCGAGGTGGCACACTCCCGTAACCCCAGGGTTAACCTAGGCTACACAGGGTGTTCAAGGCTGGCCGATATGTAAGACCCCGTCTCCAAAAGAAGCAAATTGCAAATGATAAGGTTCAGCCTTTAGCTGTGGGGTTCTGCGGTTTTTGAGAAACATGTAAAATAATGAGTTCATGATTACATGATTAAACACAATTTAATCACATTTAAAAAACCGTTGACCTTCACCCTTGAGCAAGTCTTTGGCAACCACCCCATCTCCATAGTTGTCTTTTTTTACCCCTAGAATGTAATATAACTGGAGTCATGGAAGTATATAAATTTCCAGATTATCTTTTCTCTCAGTAATATGCCTTTATGATTCGAGTGTCCTTTTCCAGCTTAATAGCTTGTATGTTGGGGTGGCTGCATCTGAGCGTACGGGTATGTGTACTCTCATGTAGGGGCCAGAGGTCCACCTCAATGTTCCTGGGAAGCCATCCATCTTAATTTCCGGATGAGGTGTTTTACTGATTAGGAGAGCCTGGCTAGTCAGCAAGCCCCAGGGATTCTCCTGTCTGTGCCTCCCCGGCACTGGGATTACACGCACCACGCCACCATGTTCAGCCTTTTACACAGGTGCTGGGGATCAGGCTCCAGTGTTAGCCTGTTTATTTCTATCTCTGATTACTGCCCACTGTACAGCTTATCACGTGCTTGTCGAGGTTCGTCTTGCTAACTTTCAGGTTTTGGCCATTATGAATAAAACTGCTTTAGTCATTAGTGTGCAGGCTTGTGTGTGGCTGTAAACTTTCAACTATGTAGGGGCATGCTTGCTGGATCATGTGTCCTGCCTAGGTTTAGCTTGGCAAGACACTGCCAGACCATCTCTCAAAGTGAGTGTGTCCTTTGCATCCCTAGCAACCAACGTTAAGCTTCTGTTGGTCTGCGTCCATGTGGTAACTGCGACCCTACTCCTTAGGATGCTGATTCGAATATTTACTGCTCAGTGAGGTTATGGTTTCCTCAATGAGAATTAATTCTGAGAATGTTTTCTTGAGCTCTTGTGAAGTCTCTGTTTATTTTCAACTGGGTTGTTTGCCCTTGTGATTTTCTTCAGGCAAGATGATGTAGAATTGTGAGACCTTGCACATTTTTTTTTTTTTCCATTCTGAATCCCACCCTCTACTTACTGCCCAACTCTCTGGCATGCTGTTTGGACGCTTCTGAATCGAGAATCATGAGCTAAATAAATCCAGGTAGCTTTATGTTACCCAGACTAAAATATTTTGTGATAGTTACTCAAATGGACTAGAGTCTTTGTCTAGCCTTGGTACTGGTATTGCTAAAGAGAAGTTGGGAAGCAAACCCTCTATTTTTTTTTTTTTTTTTGAAGAGTCCATGAAAGGTTGGTATAAATTCTTTCTTAATTAGTTGTTATAGTTCCCCAGTGAAGCTGATTGGCTTGAGATTTTTCTTGTGGGAAGTTTCAGAATTTCTAATTAAGTTTCTTTATTTGTGACAGATCTGCTAAGACTTTCAAATTCTTCAATTTTTATGTTTGTGTCTGAGATGGTCAGTGTTAATTCTCAACTTGTCAAGACCTATAATCACCTGGGATGGGCTTCTGGGTAAGCGTGTGAGGGAATCATCTTGTTTACATAACTGTTGAGGGAAAACTCAACTCACTGTGGGTAGGGCTAGTCCCTGACTGGGATCCTAGAATGTGTAAGTGGAGAAAGGACACTGAGCGGGGAGCATGCATGCATCATTCTCTTCTTCTAACTGTGAATGTCATGTGACCAGCTGCTGCAAATTCCTGATGCCCAACTTCCCTGCTGCGATGGACTGAGCCTTGAATTGTGGGCCAGAAGAAACCTTCCTTCCTTGTGTTGCTCCTGTCAGGGTATTTTTATCACAGCAACAGGAAAAGAAGTTAAGGCAATGTCTATCTGGGAAAATGCCCATTTCATATAAGTTATCTAAAATACTATTTCCTGTGGTCCCTCCGGTTCCTGTAACAGTAGCAGTGATGTTGATAGTCTTTGGCTACTGATTTTAATAACTTGAGTCTCCTCTCAGGTCAGTCTAGCTCAGGGGATTTTCTTGATCCTTCAAAGAACCAACTTTTGGGTTCATTGAAATGCTCACTTGCTGCCTCTTTTCTACTCCACTGCTATTATCCTCTTCTTTTTGCCTGCCTTGGGTTTGATTATCTTTCCTTTTTGTAGTCTAGGCTATTATTTGAAGTTTTCTTCTTTTAAAGTATAAGTGTTTAGACCTATAAATTTCTATAGATTTTCCTGTAAGTGTTGCTTTGGACATATATTGTAATTGTTTTCTTTTTTTTCAAGGTATTTTCTAATTTGACAGCATTTATAATCACCCCGGAGACAAACTTCGGGGCAAGTCTAGGAGGGGTTTCTAGATTAGGACTGAATTGAGAAGACCGACCCTAACAGGCAGTGGCGTCTCACAGGCTGGAGTCCCAGACTGAAGAGATGGAAAGACTCACGTGACGCCATTTTCAGATGGGAAAGCTAATAAGAAAAGCCGAGTATTGTATTTCTTGATTCTACTTTCTCCTTCCAAAGTTCCTTTTAATTAATTGTGTTGTAAATGTCTATTTAAAAAATGATTATGTAAGAAGTCTAGTTGTTCTGCATGCAAGATAAAGTCTTTCCTAGAAAAGAAATCATAGATAAAAATAAATAGAAGACATAAATAACAAATTAAATATAATGTTTACATAATTGGCTAATTATTACAGATTAAAATTATTTTATTTCATTTACTTTGTGTGTGTGTGTGTGTGTGTGCGCGCGCGCACATGCGTGTCTGTGCATAAACACAAGTACAGAGGTCAGAAGACCGCTTGGAGGAATAGGTTATCATTCTACCATGTGGGTCTCAGAATCAAACTCAGGTTACCAGGCTTAGCTACAAGCACTTTACCCAATAGTGTGGATTTTATTTAGCTTTTCAAAATCTTTTCTCTCTTCCATGTATATGGAACTTGATTAACTTAGCTGTCACTTATTCTCATAAAAAACAAATCTGTGTGCGATGCCTTCTATTTCTAAGTCAATATCCAAGTTGGTGTACTATTTTTGAAGCCAGGATCCACCTGTGTAGATACTAGATTAATTCTAGGATGCCTTATGTGTGGTGCCAAGCACATCTGTTTTAATCACATCAAGGGCCTTCCCCAAACAAACAACATCTCCACATGCCAGAATTTTTTTTTTTGAAGACAAAGATCTTCATCTATGACTCAATTATTGGGATTTTTCATAGTCTACAGATGAATACAGCTTCTGTATGTAGATTTTCCTGGATTTGCTGAATTAACATTTTACAGCCTTAAAGACATTTGAAGAACTTAAATTCCTACCAATAACATGTGACTCCCTGGTTGTCGAAGGACCCTGGCAGCTCTTGCAATATGTTGTATGGCTTCCTTGAAGAATACAGTTGAATGAGACATCTGAAAAATAAATGTAGCAAATAAACAAATTAGAGGTTGAGAAAAATCAAGTGTGCATTAGGGTTTTACACGCAAGGACACAGGATTAAGAGTGACCCTCTTTGATAGCGTGGTGACCTAGATCCAGTTAACAGTTAACACCAACATTTAGAGAAAACAATTTTTTACATGAGATCACGTACCCCTTTGCTAATATTCTAGTGGGCTGACATGGGCATTTGTGGGGTTGAGAGGACAGAAAAGTGGTATCTAGGTTGCTTTTCCATGGGTCTGTATTAACAGTGGCTGGTGAGAAGAGACTTAGGATGTTTTCAGGGTATCTGTGACTTGGTTGGCACCTCTGCTTTAGCGTGTCTCTGCTCATTACAGCAGTGGAAAGGCAAAAAGAACCACAGCCATCACGTGTGTCTCACTCTGGAGCCTGGTGCTATATTATCTTGCATTTCTTAACTCCATTAACTCTATCCATTCAATTCCCTGCAGCCTCAGCCCCACACCTCATCTTTAGAATTAGAAGCCACTGAGACAAAGTATAGAGAAAAGCATAAATCCCTGCATTTGAAACCAGAGGGGAGGCTCCTCCTCCCTCACTTCAGGTACACATACTTTAAAATATTTGATATTTATTTATATCTGTGCACACAAATAAACATACACATGTTTAACATTCTGCAGGCTTTCATGTAATGTGCCTTTACCTCCACTGAAGTGAAAACTATCTTTTGATGGAATTCCTTAAGTATGACGAGAAGTTTGTCATAGTCATTGGTGTTCTGGTAGATCTTTTTTCTTTGAGATTTATTTATGTCCATGAAGTCCACAAATACAGTTGAGTCCTTTATTAGGTATTCTGGAGTCCACTGAATCTATCATGAAAGAAGAATTCAACAAGTATTCCCATTGACATTCATATTCCATTGTCTTTACATTGAAATTCTATTTTTTTTTATGTGAATCCCTCCTCAAAGTAACATTTTTTAAATGCTTCAAATAAAATACATGTGTTACAAAAGAATAGTGAAACACAGTTCTGCCCAAAAGCTCTGCCCAGGGTTCTGGACTTCGGGCCGAGAGCTGTGTGGCTGGAGACAGCTGTCCTGCCAACTCCACTGACCATCGGGGACATGGTCTCTTCCCTCAGTGATCCATCAGTGACCACCCCAGCCCTATGGCCATGCACAGTTGTTTCCTTGGCTCACTTTGCATGCTTTTTGTTCTCCTTCATATCAAGGCCACAGACTCTCTCCTATTTGACAGTCGCATCATTGTCCTCTCTCTAAAACCAGCTGGAATGGATGACTCTCTGTTTTCTAATTCCCTGTGGGGCAGTGCACACCAGATGATCACAGTGGCTGCCTGCTCTCCTGCAGCTCCTGGTTAAAGGTGGCTATGGACACCCACTCCAGCAGTCCTTCGCATGTGCCTCGCTTGCTGTCCAGCCCCTGGAAGTTCCCGATGGACACCCAGAAGTCATCTGCTTAGCCAATGATGGTCCAGGGACGGAATGGCACAGTGGCTAAGAGACTGTGTGACATCAGATGTCCTGTGTCTGAATGATGGTGCCATCACTTGACCAGCTGGGAAACCGTGTGTAACTTTACTCTGGTCAGTACTGTTGGCCAAGTAAGGGGAGTAACAGGGCTCACACCACAGAGCTGTCATGAACAATGTGTCAAGCTCTTAAGACAGTGCCTCCGGCATTGCATTCCCTATTATCAGGGTAATATTTCGCTCTCTAAAAAAGGCAACCAACTAATTAGGTAGTAATTGTCAGGGTAATAATTTATGTTCTTGTGTTTGTAAGGACAGTTTGGCTGATAAGGTCTTTAATTTGGGGGAATTCTAGCTGCTTCTGATGTCTGCACATCACAGGGCTGATGTCTGCTAAGGAGAGCCTGGTTCTCATGATCTTGTTTCCTCACTGTGCTAAGCTATGAAGACAGACTTGTGCCAGGGTGGCCAGGAGCTCTTCCCAGGACAGGAAGTAAAGAGCTCTCTTCTGATTTTCATTTTATTAGTCTGTCTATCCCTTCATCCATTCTTCTTAAAACAAAATGTATTCTTATTATACGTGTATGTGGTACACGTGGAAGTCAGAGGATGACCTGGGGCAGGGAGGGTCTGGTTCTCTCCTTTCACCTTTATATGGACGTGGGGCTAAACTCAGATTGTCACATTTGCAGGACAAAAACACCTGCTGAGCCATCTGGCAAGCTCTATACCTTCATTCATTCTTTATTCATTCACCCTAGATATATTTGTTGAATGCTTATACTAAGTTATAGAGATTTATCAAGAAATAAAACAATTATCCCATCCTTATGGAGATTGGTAAGAGCTAAGACAGGTCTTTGATAGGAACGTCCAAAAGTCTTATACAAAAGGGAGTCTAGAAGGAGGCTGACATTGGTCAGAAAAGGTTACCAAGAGGTCTAAAGTATGTACTGAATTTAAAAAAAGATCTATACTTTAAGTCGACAAATTGTAGTTTCATATATGCATAGAATACAGTGTCATTACAATGTGAAATAATAACTAAATAAGACACATTTACCACCTCAAGTCTGCATTGTTATATCCAACGGTTCTAAAGACTTATCCATCCTACCTAACAGAGGCATTATCAGCCCATCCCTCCCATGCCCACCCTCCCTATTTCTGAGCGGTGGGCCTCTTTAGACTTTGCTCATAGTGGGAACAGTCTTTCTGAGCCTGCATTATCTCACTCAATGTGATGAGGATGACCTGAGTCTTGAACAGTGGCCAGGAGTAAGCCATAGGAGGGGCCTGCAGCTGCAAAGGCAGAGGCTGTGGACAATCAGCTGTATTCTGGATAGGATACAGGGGCACCTGTTCAGATTTCTGGAACACATGGAGGCATGGAAACTAAGGCCAACGCTAAGACAGGGACATCTCGATGGGAGAGAGGGTGCAATGAATGCAGAAAAGGCATGGCTTCCCAAATGCTAAATGTGTAATGCCCAGGGTAACTTCATATAGGCTTAGAAGTCTAAACCTATACATTCAAGTTGCTCTATTAAAGTTCATGTTATTTTTTACCAAATTCCTTGCTTGTGTTTAAAAGGTAGGGGGCTGGAGAGATGTTGTAGTGGTTAAGAACAATGACAGCTCTTCTGAGGTCCTGGGTTCAACTCCCAGCACCCACACAGGAACTCACAACTGTCTATTACTGTAGTTTTGTAGGCTCTGATGCCCTCTTCTGGTGTGCGGACATACACATAGACAAGACACCCACGGATATTAAATAAATAAATAAATAAATAAATAAATAAATAAATAAATCTTTAAACTGTAGATATAAGAGTATTTTTCAGCATCTTAATAGCCCAGACGTATCACTTACTATTTATCTGAAACAATTCTAAATGTTTTATTTACATTAGAGTTTTCCATTCTCACCAGAGAAGTATGAGATAGGAAATCACTACCCTTATTGAGAGTTAAGGAAGCTGAGGCACAAAGACCATTTGCTCAAGGTACACAGCTTGTGATGGAGGACCTGGGCTTTGAACCTGGGTAGACGCTGAGTCTAAAATCCCTCTATCCCACTGCCTCTCGCGCTGCAAGAGAGGAAAGATGATAGCGTTAGGGATCCAGGACCCATGTGAAGGGTTAGCGAAGAGATGACTCTGAGGCGTGAGCCAATAGCAGCTCTTGCAAGGCCAAGGAAGACCTGCATTCTGGGAAGAACTTTAGGAGATTCTAGACAACTGACAGGAGGAAGTCATTTTGGTGGGTATGGAGATGGAAGAGGCATTATGTTGGGGTTCTAAATGCCAATATATTTTAACAGGCTTTAAGAAAGGCTGAAGGAAGTGATATGGGTCAAAATAAATGATAATATTAAGATGAGTAAAAGGCAGGTAATTTGAATGAAGAGAACATAGCAATGGGAGCGTCCATAAATAAAAATCTCTGTGAATTTGTAATTATCTTAGAACCATGCATACACACGTGCACATTTAAATATTCATATACAGACACATGTACCTATATTTGTTCATGTGCATGTTCATACAAAAAGTTTGTATCCTATGATTCTGTTTCAATATTCTTTAGCTATGCCCTCAACATCCTCCTCAGGTGTTTCAGGATGATGCCGTAAAGAGAGCTGCCTGCTGAGCCACAAGACTCAGTTCCAGTCAGCTGATTATGCTTTTCTCTGTGACCTACATTGAAAGAGACAGCAAGGAAACTAAAGGCCAAAGCTGTTTAGAGCTGAGGAGTCTGGGCATCTCCAGTGGGCAGTTCTGCAGGCCTTGGGTGGGTGGGGGAAGCAGTGTTGAGGTTTTGAGAGGCCAGAATCACGAACAAAGGAATCAGGACTTGACCATTTCCTTCCTGCAAGCTTGGCTCTCAGACATCTTTCAAGCAAGGAACAGAATTCTTAAAATAACGTTGCCTTCATTAATATTAGAGATATTTGAGGATTTTCATAAAACAACATTTTGTGTGCACGCCCGTGCGGGCACGTGCTCAGTTCCACTTGAAATATATTTAAGAGCTCACCTGTAGATGCTTCTGGACTTCCTTTGAGAGAAGTTGATAGAAAAGGATTTTTTCACTGGGTTCAATTAAGCGATCATGAAACACTCGGCTGGCTTCATGAACTAAGAGCAGAGCAGCCATCCTCTTGGAGTAGATGACGCTCCTGTCTGCTTGCATCAATCCCAGCAGAAGCTGTGAGAGATGAAAAAATAACATAGCCAACATTCGCTGGGTAATGTGCAAAGAAAAGCTCAAGGTTTGTGGGTGTGTGCTTTATAAAAATAGAACTTTTCAAAGTAAGAATCATCGATTTCTGTAAATGACAATGTGAATATTATGGGACAGGTAAGTTACAGCCAAAGAAAATTGGCACAGGACAGCTCTTAGTGGGAGGAGATTGATAGCATCTTAGGTTCATCTAAGAGAGGTTTGCCAGGCAGAAAGCATGGCTGGACAGATGCTACCAGCATAGGTGACAGGGAGGGATTTTTCATTAAAAACTTTTTTTTTTAAATGTAGAACAGCCTGACTTTGAACACAGAGATCTTCTTGCCTCTGCCTCCTGAGTACTGGATTAAAGGTGCCCCCACACCTGGCCCTGAGGTACTTTCTAGTATTGGTGTGTTGGACCTTTTAAGATTGGATTAAGAACACCAGTGCAAATCAGGCTGGCCTTCTACAGCAAGGGAAGAAAGACTTCATATTAAATTATATCAAATTAATTAATTATCTCTCCCCCTGCCCCATCTCCCCTTTGTCTTCCACCTTTCCTCCCTCCCTCCCTCCCATCTCTGTCTGTCTTCTCCTCTTTCTCTCCCTTCCCCTCATCCTTTGTTTTGGTCTTTTAAGACAAAGTTTCTCTGTGTAGTTTTGGCTGTCCTGGAACTCAAGAGATGCCCCTGCCTCTGCATCCATCTCAAGTGCTGGGATTAAAGGCATGTTTCACTATGCCTGGCTAAATTTTTCTTGTAAACATTGAATTTTGAAAATTATTTGATCACAGCTGCTGACAGAGCTAGTGTTATGCCCAAATTACAAGATCCCAAAAGGTCACCACCAGGAATCGAGTCCGTTGCAAAACACATAAGGATCTTTTTATTACAAGCTGCAACTTGGGCTCACACCCCTCACTGCAGTATAACAGGGAAGGAGGCAGGCAGGGAGGGAGACTCAATGCAGTACAATTACATCTCAATACAAATGTTAAAAATGAGCTAGAGAACTAATTTCAAAACAAACCTTAAACGTGTCTCGAAGATTAAAGATGTAGTGGCATTTGGTTGGCGTTGGCAACATTTTCTTACAGACTTGATAATATATCGCCAGGGAACAGTAGACAAGCTGATCTCTACATCTCTGAACGTCAGATAAAAAGTTATGGACGTAGAAATACATTCCCAAGTGAGCCTTTAAAGAGAACATTTAACATTTAATTAGATATTTAAATGTAGGCTATGACTTATATTTACCAAGAAGCAGACTTGTGGATATTATGGAGGGTTAATTTCACTGAAAACTATTACTTGTTAAAAATCTTAGAACAGGGGCTGGAGAGATGGCTCAGAGGCTAAGAGCACTGGCTGCTCTGGCAGAAGATCCAAGTTCTATTCTGGGCACCCACATGGTGGTTCACAACCATCTTTAATGAGATCTGGCATGTAGGCATATATGCAGACAGAACACTGTATACATAATAAATAAATCTTTAAAACCAAACCAAAACAAAATCTTAGAACAGTATGGAGTCATAAATAAAAGGTACCCAGGGTGTGGGAAAGAGAGACATTCCCACAGGTATTAGTATGTCGCATGGCCTTAGAGGCATGTGCTATGTGTTCTTTGGGGGCAGTTGGTAGCCCACCTCTGTGCAATCAGTTGTGGTACTCCCTCATCTCCTTGCTGGTCGGGGGGTTGGGGAGGAGGGGGCAGTGATAGAACATTACCCCATCTGGACTGCCATCTACTTGTGCTTTCTTTGGAGAGTCCGGAAATTCCTTAGTGGAAAAATGGCTCAAACAGAAATATAGAGTAATTTATACATCTGATATGTGAGATTGTAGAGAATGTAGTAACTTTCTTCAAAATTAATCTTGTATTTTCTTTATTTATAAGCTCTAAAGGCAAATTAAGACCAATTTCCCTCAAACCCCTTATGACTCTGATGCAGGTGACCATAGGCTACACCTAAGAGAAAAACTGCTTTCGAAGAAAGTAACTGTGTATGCCAACCTAGGCTGGCTGAAGAGATCCCACCTCTTAGAAGAAAATACAAAGACTGGAACTCAGGGTGCTCATGCTTAAAAGGCAGTTACTGAGCTCCATGCCAGATGACAAAGCCCAACCAGGGTAGGAGAGTACTACAGCATTCCTAAGAACCTGCCTTCATCCCAGTGGAGGGAGGGAAGGAGGGGCAGTGGGAAGGGAGGAGGGAGAGGGGCAGTGGGAAGGAGGGAGAGGGGAGGAGGGGGGGGGGGGAGGGACAAGCTAGATGCATTACCTGAAAGATAGTAACTAAGGCACTCTGTGAAGGATGAGGCAAGGCCAGTAAGGAGAAGTGTTTGAGGAGACGTAGGCTGATATCATTTCTACTGGCAGAAGGGGTACAGGCGGCAATTATGGAAAAATCTTGAATAGCCTGTGGGAAGAGTTATTTTTTTTTTTAAAGGGAAATGCATCTGTAAGAAGTAAAAAATATATATCCGTTTCCCTGCCCCAAGTAAAAGAATTCAGGCAAATATTTAGATTACTATTTACTATAAAACAAAAATTTAAATAATAGAAATCTATGTTCTTATAGGTAACCTGTCATAAAATGTAATTTCAAGACAACTTCTAGCAGGCTTTCTAAATGACATCAAGAAATAGCCCATTTAAAAAAAAAATGACAACCACTTCCTAATGTGAATCTATTAGAGGAAAACACAGGGGAATCATGGCACTGGTCTGGGCAAAGAAGCCCAAAAGCACAAGAGACAAAACTAACACAGATGAGTAGGATTATACTGAAGAAGTGTCAGCACTGCTGAGTGTACAGACATTGGCAAAGGGTTGCTATCTAGAGGATACAAGGAACCCAAATATCCCAAAAGCACCCTTACCACAAATAACTGTTGCAGGATATTTGGTCCCACTGTGACCCCCGAGATTGTAAACTGTAAAAACCTGTTTCTTGTTTGGTGTGGTTCAGCCTTAATACACACTTTTAATCCAAGAGCTTTCTGTTTATTGTAAACAGGTAATTATGGTGTGGCTCAGCCCTGACACACACCTTTAATCCAAGAGCTTTCTATACACTGGATTTAATAAAGTTAATCTTAGGTCAAGAGGTGGAGCAAGCAACCAGCCGAAAGGGATTAAACAGAAAGGAGGGACTTTGAGTTGAAGGATATGTAAGAGAGCATGGAGAAGAAAGAGCTTTTGGTCTTTTCCTCCTGGGCTGTCAGCTGAGCTAGCAAGCTTTTGGCCTTGGGCTTTTGTCTTTTTCCTTAGGGATGTGAGCTGAATAGAAAGGTCAGCTGAGTGCTTTCTCTGCCTCTCTGAGCTAGCAAGTTTTCACCCCAGCATCTGGCTTCCAAGTCTTCACTGGTAAAATTGAATGATTTGAGATTTTTTTTTTTCCTTTCTTTCTAACCACAAATAATTCAACCAAAATTTGGGAAACATTTGAACAAAAGAAAACATATAAACAAACAGCAGGTAAATGAAAATAAAAAAGCACCACTCATCGGTGACCATTAAGGAAGCTCAAATAAAAACAATAATGAGATAGCACTTCATCCCAGCTACAACAGCTATCAGCAAAAAGACAAGAAATGGAAAATGCTGGTGAGGCTGTGAAGAAGGGAAACTCTTGTAAACTACTAGAGGAAATGTAATTGGCCCAGACATTCTGAAAAACAGGATGTAGGCTCCTCATTAAAATAGAATCACCACGTGTTCCAACAATCCCACTATTGAATATACATGCATGCATACATACATACATACATACATACTCAACAGAGATTAAATCAGTATATAAGATATATATGCATTCACTGCATTATTAACAACAGAAAAAAAAAAACACAGAATCAGTTTAAGGGCCCACTAACAGATAAAGAAAATATGGTGTATATATGCAATGAAACAGCATTAAACCTTAAGAAAAGGAAGTCATTTATAACTACATAAATCAGCCTGGAAGGCATCATGCTAAGCAAAATATCCCAGACACAGAAAGACAAATACTGAATGATCTCATTAATATTCGGGAACCGAAAATATTTAATATTAGACATTTTCCTCTAATAAGCTTAAGTAGAAATCTTTTAACTCCCCCATTAAATAATGCAGACTAGTCAGATGGATATTGTCTTGCAAAACATACAGCTCACTGGAAAAGAAACGCTGAGGGAAAGGATAGAAATCAATCAACTGAGCAAGTGAAAGCAAAATCCAGTTTGGCACAATTATTTTGATAACTGATGAAGTACACTTCAACTGAAAACTGTCGGAAGAGATACAAGAGGAAATTTCAGAGTAATCTACACCACCCATTACACAAACTTAACACACACTTACAGAACAATCCACACAACAGCTGTGAAATCCATAGTATTCTCACGAGCTTTAAAAAACTGTCCACATTTTAGCCCATCAAGCAAGTCTTAGCAAAATGCAAATGCACCGAAATAATTTCTTATCAGGCTATTGTGGAATAGAACCAGATACAAGAGAAAAAAACCAGAGACAAAACAGTGTAATTTTGAGTGACCAATGAGTCACTGGGGGAATCAGGGTGGAAAAAAAAAAAAAAAAAACCTTCCTAGAATCAAATGAAAATGAAAGCACAGCTCATCAGAGTCTTTAAGATACCACGAAGGAAGTGTAGAGGGACAGTTTGTAGCTATGAGGGGTCGCATTAAAAAACTAAGGGGAGGAAGTGGGGAGTGGAGTGAATTATTAAAGTTTAATTATATCTATGTATGAAAATACTATAATGAAACTCATTACTTTGTATGATGACTTAAAATAAGAATCAGATAAAATAACTTCATGATGCACCTCGAAGTCTTCGAAAACCAAGAACCAGCCAAACTCCAAAGGAGCCAGTTAGAAAACAGAAGCTTTTTAACAGATAGTCTTGAGAAAACAAAACAAAATCCATTCCTCCACCACAGAATTTTATTTAGTTAATAAAGAAAAGTGAAGTTGGGGCTGGATAGATGGCTTCCTGGTTAGGAGTGTGGACTGCTCTTGCACAAAACTGGAGTTCAGCTCCTGTTAACATATTGTACAGCTCACAACTGCCCATACGTCCAGCTCCAACACCCACTCCTGACCTTCCCCGGCAACTGCACTCAGGAGCACCCCCCCCCCCCCGGAGCGTATCTGTTATGGCCAGGCCTGGCCTGGGATGAGAAGAGGCTGCAGATAACATCGGTGTGACCCCAACATACCACAAAACCAAAGACCTGTGCTGGGTAGAGCCAGAAAAGAACCCAGCCTATTCTGGTCTCTCTTGATGGGATGCTTTGACACCCTGCTTCTTCCCATGCCCGTGCTGGGGTCACAGAAATCCCACCAAAGACCTGCTATAACTATTTTTTTGGTCACTTTAGAGATTTTGTTCAGACCCAGGACCCACTTCCTGTTTTCTCTCCCTTCCCTGCACCCCCCCCCCATCCTTCTCAAATTCTCTCTGGAAGGCTGTATTGGGGCTCTCTCTAACTTAGGTGGACAGTAATTTAGACAGTCTGGCTGGTGTGTGAGCCAATACCACTTACTGGCAAGAATGCTTTATTTGGGATCCTGACTCAAGTCTGCTTGAGACATGAAGCTATTTGAAATACAGTCATCTCCTCTTACAGACGGGAGTTCTGAGGATCAGACAGCTGAAATTGGGGGGGGGTTAGTTCTGGAACAAAGGGCTTTTGGTTTCCAGAGAAGGAACCATAAACAAGGTCGCAGAACTAGACACTCCTCACTCTTCACTCAGTACTGCTGTCGCTGTGCAATATTTGGTAAGAAGAAAATCTCAGCTTATACTGTACCTTCCATGAATTTTGGTTAGTATCATAAAGGCCTCCCATATCTAATAACTGTCTGATCAATTCCAGGGGTGGCTGCGCTCCACTTGTTTCCGGTATTGGCATATTCAAATCATCCATAAACACTATAATCTTAAGGAAGGCAGATGTTTGAAAGTATTAATTAGTATAACCTTTTGGGAGATTGTGAATTATAGATATTAATTATGCTACTGTTCAAGAATAAAGTTACAGGCAATAATCTGTTTTTCTGTTAAGAACAGAAGATCAACTATATTTTGAAGATATGGAGTGTTCAAACCAGCAGGAAGTCAACCCTTCGTCCCTAAAACAGTGACATCATACTTTGGAATGCTTTTAATGCTGATAAAACAATTTAACCGAGGCGTTCACTTCTGAAGGGACCAGCTAACGAAGCACGTTCTTACCATGTGCTTGCTCTTGGCAAGGCTCTGTTGTAGGGTTTAACTTTTCTGTTTCAGACGCACTCTGGGTTGGGCAGAAAATTTAGAAACACTCTAGTTCTCAAATCTGTGTTTTTATTTTTACCTAGGAAAAAATTATGCAGTGGAGCGTGCTGAGCATAGTCTCTCTGCAGTGGACTCTTTTGATTGTATTTATTATTTTTTTGTGTGAAAGAAAAATACAAACAGCTGGGTTCATTTCTGAATTTGTAACTATCCAAGTTATTTTTATTATTCTATTGTTTCCCCTTCTGGAGTATATTGACAACCATGTTTCTTACCTGTATTTTCTAATGGTGTTAGGTTGCTGAAACCTTTTCAAAATGACTAAAGTTTATTTATGTAGGCAAAGACCTAGCAGTTTTATTCCAATCTTCAGTTGATGCCAAGGAACTCTCAAACAAGCCCTTACTGCCTGCTAAAGGCGTGCAGGGACATTTAGGGCCACGTAAGGCTTGTTTATGAATCTTATGAGTCTCTTGACCCTGAGATACCTTCATGGTATTGAATGGGAGTCAGTGATCGTAAATTCAAATGGACAGTGATTCCATGCCAAGCAGCCTGGGGTGAGAACAGAGCACTGGACGCTCCGTGTGCCTGTCCTGTTCCCAGGAGTCCATTCCCTTCATGCCTTCTCTGAGTCTGTTCTAGAGTTCTAGAGGTTTCCATTTCTTTTAGAGCCATGTGCAGTGGAAGGAAATGGCCTAGAGCTGGGCACGGTGGCATATGCCTGAAATCCCAGCACTCTGGGAGGCAGAGGCAGGTGGATCTCTTGAGTTTGAGGCCAGCCTGCTGTACAAAGCAGGACAGCCAGGGCTACACAAAGAAAGCCTATCTTGAAAAACCAAGAAGGTGGTGAAGGAAGAAGAGGAGGAGGAGAAGGAGGAGAAGAAAAGTTGGAAGCTACAGCAGCAAAATGCAGGTGGTTAATTCAGTTTCCATCCAATCTTTATCCAGGTTGTGGCACATTCTTCAGGTCCTACTGGACTACATTGATCTGAAAATCAAAGTCTCCATTGCGAGGGCATCTTTTAGGATGCTCAGGAGTGTACATTCGCCTTTTTATTAACTAAAACCAACCAATTTACCGCTCAGCACACGCAGGCGGCTTAGAAGGGCTGTTTACCTGGCTGTTCTTCGGGGCTCCCAGAATGTCTTTGGTTCTTCTCACTAATTTCCGCAGAATCAAGTCCTTCATATTGGCGGCCGTCATGTTGGTGGTAAGAGTTATTGTACCGGTTATAATTCCTTTATCAGTTTTAACTGTGGTGTCTTCACTTTTAACCTCTACTTTCTTTGCACTCTGATCTATGATGCCAAATACAAAAAAAAAAAAAAAAAAAAAAAAAGAAAGGAAGGAAGGAAAAAAAGAAAGAAAAATTAATTTAGAGCAGTTTAAGCAGTGTTTGCTTTACTTTAGGGTGTTAAGAAATTTGAAATTAAGGAATTTTATTTTATTGCTGTCCTTTAAGTGCTCTGAGAGGGACAGCAGCTTTGAACAGTTTCACAGAACTGCATGTTGAAAATCATGGCTCGTGCACTGGCATGGAAGCTCAGGGAACCCTCTTCTGTCCGTGTCAGACACACCCGACTGACTGACTGGGAAGCAACAGGCCGCACACTTCCGTGTTAGGGCTTGTTCCCGGAGAAAGGATCACCCGGAGGAATATGTGATATGATGCTACAGTCGCTTACGACCCCGACCCATCCCTGGCACTCATGCTTCTGTTGTGTGTCCTGACATGTCAGCTACAAGCCACAGCTCTCTTCTGCACGGTGCGGAAAAGCAGGAAGGAGCCGGAGAGCACCTTGGGGATTCCATTGGCGGTCTGCAGGGCTCCCTCAGGAGCAGACTCCCTCCGCCTTGCACCTCTGCGGAAGTTTTAACGGGTCCTAGCTAACTTCCAGCAGCCTGTCTGTTAAATGAATGGGTCCAGTTTTACCCCATGACATCTCACAGGAAGGGATGGCTGCCTGTGGCCACCGGAGTCTTGATCCTGTGTGCTCACACTCACCCAGAATGTTGGTGGGGTCAGCAATCAGGATGTTGATATTCTGCCTGAGGCTGTTGGAGTCAAATGTTTTAAGGATCCAAAGTTAGTTTATCATCTTAGCTGTAGTAATAAAATCTAATGACAGAAACAGCACATCATTGATTTTACTTAGATTTCCCACAGGAAAATACTTATTTTTCTGTTCACATTTTTATAGTCTTAAAGCCTCTCCACATTCCATTTTCTTATTCAGCTGAAAAAAAAAAAACCCACCAGGCTTTTCTATATTTTAACCGTATGAGACTAAATTTTAGAAATGTGTATTTCAGAAATTTTTATTTGTTAAACTTGGGTTTGTATTTTTCTTTTACGAAGAGGCACGCAGCACATAGGCACAAGCTCCTCATAAAGTCTTTACATTTCATAAGTGGGTGATATATTTTTGTTACAACAAACTGATATGCAGAACTTTGTGAGTATATCCAAGGTGCATTTTATGTCACATAATATGTGTGGTTTTAAACTTAAATTTAACATAAATGCCGTGTCTCTGATTTAAAGGAATGAATCTAGCTGTGGAAAAAGTAAAGATTTTCTTCTAAACAGAAAATCATAGTGAATCAATAATAAGGGCAGAGATGAAATAAAAAACAAAAAGACACCCCCCCCCCCCATAAAAGGAAAAGAAAAATCTCAGAACTGTCTGGTTTCACACTGAATTCTACTGATTATTTAAAGAAGGATCATATGCTAACAAACAAGGCGGGAGAAGAAATATTTTCAAATTCATTTCACAAGGCTAGCACTGCCCTGAGAAGAAAGCCAGAAAACTGCTCCAAGCAAAGAAAAATTCAGGACAGTATCATTTAGGAACACAAATGTAAAAATCTTCAACAGAAAGCGAACAAACCCAGATTCAACTGCATTGAAAAGACCATTCTTCGTGATCCTGGGATGCAAGGATGGTTCAACATACACAAATCGGTGAAAGTGACACATCATAGCAACAGAATAAAGGGCAGAAGCTGTAATGATCATCTCAGTAAGTAAAAGAATAATCTCTATACTGAAAACCAGAATGAGTTGAAAAGCCACTAGACTCTATTCCTCCTGGTTTAGAAAAAGCAACACTGTTACAATGTTTGCACCACCCCAAATGAGCTACAAATTCAGGGTAACCTCTCTCAGGCCGTTTTTCATTTTTCTTGTGGAATCACAAGACTCCAAACAGATACAGTACTCCTAATGAGAAAGAACAAGGTGGTGGCAGCCATCTCAGGGCTGGAGAGATGTCTCAGTGGTCAACAGCCCCAGCGGAGAGGACTGGAATTTGGCTCCTAGCGTAGTGGCCCATCACTCCAGCCTCAGGGCTCGGGTGCTGGTGCTCTCTTCTGGCCTCTGTAAGCACCCATATCCATATGCATGCACCCCCACACAGATGCATAGATTACAACGTTTAAAATTAAAACGGGTATAATACAAAAGATTATTAATCAAGACAAAAGGACATTTCCATAAAAAGTCAACTGAACCAGGCAAGAAGGGTTAAATTCTTCATAGTTTCCAAAGAATCTGAAGAAAGCAAAAAGAGGGGTAGGTGTCAGGGGCTGAGGGTGAGGTGAGGCTGAGGGTGTTTGCTCAAGGATACAAATAGGAGGAATCCAATTTCAAGGTGTATCATGTGGGTTTTGGGGTACAGCCAATGTGCACAGCAAAACTGCTGGAAGCTCAGATTTTAAGTGTTCTCACTACAAAAGGACATGAGGTGATGGGTGTGTTAATCAACTGACATAATTTTACAATGCACGCATACATTTAAGCAATCCATTGCCTCTTACAAATATATACCGTTACTATGTGTCAATTAAACACAGATATTAAAATTAAAAAGAGAATGGAAAATATTTTTCTTATTGCCTCATTTGACTACTTCCCCATCATTATATAAAAGATTTGCTTTGTAAGAACAAAGCCAACATACATCAAGGAAACATTTTTACCAGATGAGCCAAATTTAAAATTTAATATATACAACCTTGATTTTTTAATTTCATCATGTAACAGGACTGTTCCTAAAATGGACTCATCTTTAATATCAAATGTTCCTCGGCCCTCTAGCTTCTCAAGCATTTTGTTGATCATCGTTGTCTTCCCAACACCACAGTCTCCTAAGAAAGAAGTACATTAGGTTAGAGCTGCAGGCCAGAAAATGACATGTTTGCATGTTACAATGGAACAGTAGCATTTTTAGCCATTTGACATTTGCAAGGAAAGCATAGTTTTGCTTTTGTGTTTTAAATGTGAGAGAAGCTAATTAGGAACTTAATGTGAACTTTCAAATTGTTTGAATTGTTTATGTTTCTTACAAAAGATAGATTAGGAGATAATTATAATTTTTATTTAATGTTCACTTAACTTCATCATGACTGTTTCTTGCTTTTGGCATACCAGAACTAAGTGAAATGAGACTCTTTGAAAAACAAAACAGAACCCAATTAAAAAATACACTTTATGTACATGAGCATGGTATTTTCATGTGTGTGTACCGTGAGCATGACTCCTGCACATGAAGGTTGTAGACTCTCCTGGAACTGGAGTTACAGAGGGTTAGAAGCTATGATGTGGGTGTTAGGAAATGCACCTGAGCCCTCTGCAAGAGCAGCAAGTACTGGTAACTACCGAGCCATCTCTCCAGCCCGCCTTTTTTATTTTTTTTGTGGGGGGGTCTTATGTAGCCTAGGATGATTTTAAACTAAACAATCCTGCCATAGCCACCTGAGTACTAGAATTACAGGCACACACCACAGCCCCCAGTTCCCCTAAACCGTTATTTTTTTTTTCTTTTTTTTTGGCTAACACAGTCTAAGGTAGGCACTTAATAACCAGCTTACTGAAGCAGAACAAGGGCTTGTGACAGAAAATTCCAGGCAAGTAGGTGTCCCTGGAGTGTGTCACCTGCTGAAGTTCTTTGTACGGGTCCCTGGGACACTCTACTACTTGCCCCTGGTGAGACATGATATAGGGCGGGGACAAGAAAACGCTAATCAATGGGCTGGACACTCAGAAGGCCCAAGAGCTGTACTGAGTCACTCCCTTGGTGATAGTAGAAGATTGGAAAAGATGTACACCATATTTACAAATTGTATAGTTAGGTTGAATTAGGTAGTTGGTGTCCAGAGGTGGCTGTGTAAGGGTCGGGGCTGTGGAGGTCAACCACATATTCATCCAGTGTTATCTATTTCTAGAATTTGTCTTTAAAGTAATGAAAAGATGAAAAAAAAATAACATCTAACTCTGGAGTGGTGGGTGTACCCATAATTTCAGTACTTTGGAAGTTGAGGCAGGGGGAATCACAGTTCAATGGCAGGCTGGGCCACTCAGCAAGAGACTATAAAAAAAAAAAAAGGTTAAAAAAACAAAAACCAAGAAAAATGGGGTGGGGAGAAGGAAGGAAGATACATAGGCCTTTAACATTCTGGGTTAAAAGTGGGCACTCATAGGCTGTTGGCAAGACTGTGAAAATTAGTCTCTCTAAATTTTCAGGGCCTATTAATTAAGTGCACTTAAAAATGATTAGACGCTAATTGTTAAACTTCTTCCTAACTTGGAAATCTCCTTTTGTTAAATATTTTTCACACCTGTGAGGAGCACAGGGTAGGAATTCTTCAGCAGGAGACTCATGAGGAAAGAGAGGCAGACTGTGTCTCTGGTAGCTGTGTAGTTCACGTATTCCCCACACTCCTTCAGCTTCGTCACGTTCTCAGTGGACGCCTGAAAGTCAGCCACCAACGACGTCCCTAAGGCCAGAGAACAGCTTTAAGTTTCAGACAAGCTAGAATGGGACAGTGACCTGTTTTTTCTATGTAATACTTTCTAGGCAAGTCAGCATGGTGCATGGCAACTTGAACACCACAGACACTGTTGCATGTGCCTGGGCTCTCTGTTAACCTCAGAGATTGCTCTCTCCTGCACCCTCAGCTGGCTGAGACACTGCACACATTCCTAGAAGAAAACCCCTCGACTCTCCTGCCCCAATCCTGCTGGTCTGGTCATTCCTGCTGGAAGGATGGGTGGGGGAGGGCTCTTTCTGAGCTGCTCCCCACTCTCCTACAAGGACCCCCTCTCTGGCTGCTTACCCCACCGTCTTCCAGGCTCCTTTCTGCTGGAAATTTTGATCATACAAGTGTTTCCGAATTTTCAACCTTATTATCGGAACCATGTGAAACTTCAAAAAGGACAGTCCAACACAAGACGACTCAATGTGAAATATGACAGACATGCATGCAGAGACAAAACCAACCAACCTACCTGTCCTGAACAGGATTGTTCTCTGTAATGCTACCCAATCCTTGTTTTAAAACATTACTTTATTATTACTGTTGTGCATATGTGTGTGTGTGTGTGTGTGTGTGTGTGTGTACAAGCCGTGGTGTATGTGAAGTTGGTCCCCTCCGCCCATCTGTATCTGGGATGCAGAGATTGCTCCTTTACTCTCCACACTGTCTCACACCCTTTAAAAAATACTTGACCCTAATTCTTTTCGTCATCACACCACTAAACTGTTTAGCTGGTGCTAACACAGCAACTGTTTTTTCTTCTCCATAGCACATTGGGGGAATAGCTATCCACAGTACAAATTCAAAACACGCAGAGAGACATAGCACAGAACCATAGCTGTGGAGATGCAGCTCTTCTTCCTGCCCTTCCTTAACTGTTCCCACGTGGCGGATTCTGTTCCAACACTTGCTTAACTTTTTTTGTTGTTGTTCATTGGTTCTTCGTGATTTTATCATGTGCCCCCAACTCCCTCATCACCCCTCTCCTTGCAACCTTCCCCTGAGAAGCTGTAATGTGTTAGTGTGTCCTACAGTACATCCTTTCGTCTCCACTTCTTGGCTTGCAATTTTCCACTGCGATGACTCCTTGATCTGGTACGAGGCCTCTGGCTTCTGCTACTGTATCAATACTGGAACCTCACTGGGACTTCTCCTGGATATCCTGTTGTTGCCCCGTGTCATGGAGGTCCTGTAGTTTTGGACCTGTAGGACCAGCCCCTTCATGCACTCCAGCAGTTCCTTGATGGGGTAGATGTTGGGGTTGGGTGCCTAGGGAGGCCATAAGAGGCATCAGATCCCCTAGGTCTTGAGTTACAGATGGTCGTGAGCTGCCATGTGGGAAATGAGCCTGGGTCCTCTGGAAAAGCAGCGGGTGCTCTTAATTCTGAACCATCTCTCCAGCCCCTCCTACACATTTCTTATAATGTTCTAAGGTGATTTAAAGGCACATTTTATAAAAACGAATAAAAACTGCCCCCATAAAGAAAAATATTAGAATATAGTGATTCTCAATGTTGAGAACATATCTGTTTTTATGATTAGTATAGTTCCAGAATTTTAGAGACGGTAAAAAGCCTATTAAAAAAAGTATAAACTTACCTTTTTGAATTAGTGTCTGAGCATTAGGTACTAACTCTGACCAAGGTATAAACTCACATTGATGCAAGTCCACAAAATATCCAAATATAGTTGTTCCCTGTGGTAAGTTGAGCCCTATGTCAGAAAAGAGAAACCCAAGAGTCCGGTAAGAGCGTGGCTCACCAGGGACATGAACTCTGACCAAAAGGCAAAGCTTTGCAAGGCGGGAGTCCGCCCAAGTTCATACAACTGTATAAAACAGGCAGGCCATTTCCTCTTAATGTCGGCTCGCACAGAAGCAAGAGTTCGTTAACTTTCAATCATTTTTACATGTAGGAAAGGGTAAATTGTGACCAAATGTCCTATGAAATCTTATCCCAAAGTGCATGCTATTATCATGAGTTTGGAAAATAGTAAATTCTAGCTCTACTGGCTGTGGGCAAACTGATATAATACAGACCTTTCTGTGAGAAATATATTAAAAAACAAGTCATTCTGACTTTTCTTTTTTTCTTTTTCTTCCTTTTTTTTTTTTTTGTTTTTTGTTTTTTGTTTTTGAGACAAGTCTTATTTAGCCCAGGCTTGACTCAAACTTACTATATACCCAGAGGATGACCTTCAATCTTCCAAGCACTGGGATTATAGATGTGAGTCACGATACCTCACTTGATTCTGATTTCAGAGTTGCTACTTTCCCCTCAGCATCCTTATAGTTTTCATCGATAAAGCTATCATGTTAAAGCCCCATGAGCTCACACTTGGTCTCTGAGTCCTTGTGTGTGTGGTGCATGCATGTGAGCACACACACACACCTTGGGCACACATGTGGAGGCCAGGGCAGACATCAGTTGTCTTCGGTCACTCTTCACTTTACTGCCTGACACTGTGGCTCTCCCTTCCCTTACCACTGGGCGAGGATTGCCAGCCTCGGAACCCTTCCAGCTCCACACCGCAGTGCTGGGGTCACAGCACATGCAGCCATGCCTAGCTTTTTCAGTGAGTGCTGGGGATTCGAACTTGGGTAATTATGCTTGCAACTCCTATTACCCTGTGCTCCATCTCTCCTGCCCCTGCAGGTTGTTACTGTTTTTAAGTAAGAGTGTTTTCCAATCTTTTTAAAATTTTCGGCTTTCATTTCACTTTGCTGCTCCTCTGACTTATTTTGTATTTATATCACATACACTTATTATTTTTAGCATTCTGTTTGTTTCAAACATACTGATTTATATATTTTCCTGATTAATCTAAAGCTTTTTGGTATTTCTGTCCAACAAAGATCTTAACATTCTTTACCCACTGACCACATTTCCCTTTCATCTTGTGATTTTGTGTATAAGTTATATTTCACCCTTTTAGTAAAACCGAATTACTTTATAATCAGCAGGTAAGCCAATCCACTTACTGCCTTTTTCTGAATCATCTTCGAATACTTCGCGAACAAGGTTGTCGAACTCATAGGTCACTGTCACGACGGTGTTAGATTCAAGGCTTGAACAAAACAGCCTGTCATCTTCATGTTCGTCTTCACGTTTTAAAAGTCCCCCAAATGCCCATGTAAAGGCAAACACAAAAATCTTCTCTAGCATCAGAGTTAACTTCTCGGGGTTTTTCTCCAAAAACCGTGCATTTTCATTATTGAAGTGGCTGTGTGGAGAGGTGAATGTCAAAAGCTTTACAAAGTAGTTGGGTGATTTATCTCAACATCATCCCAAAGTTTTATCATTGAAAATTGTAATAAAGTAGTGACGTCAAATTTTGGACCTAATACATGATGTTCCCTCTGATAACAGCCACATAAATTAGTTACTGTGTTTATTTTTGAAAGTAGCATATGTATAGGATAGTCCTCCTTAACCTTTGTTTCATATCTGTTTTTGGTAACATGTTGACAAATTTATAATGCACCTTTATTTAACATATAGTTTTATTTAATATATGTGTATATCTTTATCATGACGTACTTTTGATACATGTTTAATATTTAATTTGATATGTATATCAGATGCACATCATTTTAAGTAGTAGTTATGTATAAGCCTTTTTAAATTTAAGTCAATTTATAGTTGAAAGTTACTTGTTGGGTGAGGGAATTTGTTAATTCTACATTTCATGGAAGATATAAGTAAACAGTGATTCACTTTGTGTTTCTCTTAGCAAGTCCTAAGGGTTGGCTTAGTTCAACCTGGCTATTGACTGGCAGGCAGAAACTGAAGCAACTGTTCCTACTTGAGGTTAATTCAGACTCCTCACAGTTAATGACCCATGAGTTTTGTGATGATGGGATTAAATAATGATGGGGTTAAACAGGAGCTTTGGGCATAATTTCTAACATCTTGTGTTTTAGTATCATTATAAAATTACCTACAAATTTTGAAAAACTAAGATATTTCAGGCTGAAATTCCTTAGCAACTATCAACGTGTAGTGCATTTGCATAATTGTATCTGAAACATACTGCTATGCAGAATTTAGCAAATATTTATTGAATGTTTATGATGCCCTTTTCACGGGACAGGAGAAGAGAGCAAAGCATAAAGAGTTGAGTGAGATATGAGGACTGACAGTGGGTAACGTGGGAGCACGGAGGTCCTTGTGCTCACACATAAGTACTAGTACTAGGGGAACCAGGAATATTAACATACAGGGTTGCTCCTTCAAAGAAAGAAATGCAAAACCCGTTATCCAGAAGCCGAGGAATGGCCATGCATTTTAGCCTGGTGACCTGTGTGCTCTCGGAGACCACACTAAACTCTCCCCCAAGCCCCTATCCTAAGCTTGTTTTTCTCAGTCTATGAAACCTATCTTTATGGGAGATGTCACATATAGTCAATCAACAGAACCTGTCTTTGTGGAAGCTATCACATGTATTTTACAAAGAATTTTGATGCAGCCATGTCTACACTTTGTTCCTCAAAGAGATTTATGAATGCTTTATTATGCATTCAGGGTTGACTTAATTATCACCATGAAAGTCTGTACTGAATTGTGCTGTGCTTAAAAAATGCCTAAAATAAATCACTTGGGGTCAGACTCCTGAAGTTTGAACCAACACAGGCTACTTACTTGTGTTGAACTGAACTGCCTTCTTGCCACCTGTGGATTGTCACTTTGCTGGCCATAGAGGTTACAGAGACCCCTGAAGGTTAACAGATTTAGACTGTGGACTCATAATGTATATCACAAACCTAACTATGTATCAGGTTCTAATCTAGAACAGCTACCATATCACATTATCATTCCAGTTTTATAGGTGAGACAAAGCTTTAAAACCTTATGACTGGTTCAACGTTTCATAGCTTCTAAATCATTGCCACAGGAAATAAACTCATATAAATTTTATTTCTAAAATGTGTAAAGGTGAGAAGGATGTTTTTGTAGCTACCTTATTTTAAAATATCACAAGATATGATTATCTTGTATTATTAGCTGTACAGAAGACTCTAAGCTGGGGTAAAATAATGTAGACGCTAATGTTATAAGACTACGCAAATATGGTTTACTTGACAATGATCCTATGTGCCCTTGAGTGTTTCACATCAAGTAGGTTCTTCAAACACATTTACCACATGGTGGTGACTGACCTCACATTTGTATCCTTGAACTTGACTTTCACAGCCTTTTTCTCCTCAGCTGAGGTGTCACTCGCGTTTTCACCCCCTGAGAAACAACAGGATTTTTGTGTAATTGACAGCAGACCTAAGCTGCCCTGGACGACTTTACGAGGTCAGCTTGTCACCCTGTCTAGCTGTGATCTGCCACAGGGCAGCCTCACTCTGGAGCATCCCACAGAGACCGCATGTGCCTGTCTGTCCTTACTCCTTCTGTCCAAGCCAACCATTCAACAGAGAGAAACAGTCATGGTTCATTCTTCACAGCTTATTTTTCTAGTATCTGTGCTCTTAATATTAAAACAAAATGTTCCACTTTTAGAATATTTTACAACACAGAAAGTATGTACGAAAAGTGATCACTCAGACTTTTACGCTCCTCCACAGCCACTAAAATACTGTTGTATTCCTTGTGGAATAACATAAAATGCACAATTTATTTAAAAATTAAACAGAGGAAAAAGGAAAAGGCTTGTGTTTTTATCCTGCTTTTTGATTTTTAGGGCTGTTTTTATGCCACTCTATGCCATTTGAAACATGATTTTGTTGTAGCATAATTTATTAAGCCAATCTCCCACTGTTGAAATTCACACTGTTTTTATGACTGTAAATAGTTCTGCTGTGCATAAACCTCCTTGTGCATAAACCTTTGTATACCTCTTCAATTATAAAGTTCCCAGAATAACACTAAGGCGAATTTATCGGTTTTCTTTCCTTTAAAAAAAAATATATTTATTTATTTATACAGCATTCTGCCTACATATGTGCCTGAAGGCCAGAAGAGGGCACCAGATATTACTATAGATGGTTTTGAGCCACCATGTTGGCTGCTGGGTCCTTTGGAAGAACAGTCAGTGTTCTTAACCTTTGAGCCATCTCTCCAGCCCCTTATCAGTATTTTTTTAAGCATGTATTGTTAGACAGCTTTAAATCGGCACCTCAGTCACCTTCTTTTAAAGTTTCCATTCTGGCACACTCTGGCCATCAATGTCCATCGAGGGTGAGGACGTTCCCACAGGCCCCACCCTTTCCTGAAGAACTAACAACAGGTAAAGGTTGCTTTATGAGGGAGTATCATCTTCAATGGAGCACCACTGGGGAACTAGTTGAGAAGAAAATGGAGCTTAGAGGGAAACTAATTTTTAAATGCCTTAGCACTCACTCAGCATATGCTTTTGGTCTCAATTTTAAGAGAAAAATTGAACACACCAGTTGTAGTTTCTTTTTATCATCTACCTGCCTTCTTCAAAAACTGTATTTTTAACCATAAAAGTGGATGTAATGGCCACGCCTGTAAGTTCCACATTTAGTAGGTACAGGCAGGAGGTTATCTTGATTAGAAGTTCAAGGCTAGCCTGGGATATATGCAACTCCATCACAAAACAAGGCAAAGAATAAAGTAAGTGTGAGTACTCCCATTTTCTTCGTATAACCTATCAAAGTGAAAGGTTGTAGTTCCTTGTGGAGAAAGCCCAGTGTAACTACTCTGTAGAAACCTCCTAAGGAGCTGTGGTGGCTTGAGCAGGAACGGCCCCCAAAGGCTCATGTGTTCAAATGTTTGGCCATAGGGAGTGGCACTATCAGGAAGTGTGGCCTTGTTTAAGGAAGTGTGTCACTGCAGGGTGGGCTTTGAAGTCATATATGCTCAAGCTACTCCCAGTGCAACACACAGTCTCCTTCAGCTGCTTCCGGACCAAGATGTAGAACTCTCAGCTCCTTCCCTATCACCATGTCTGCTACATACTGCCATGCTTACTGCCAAGCTGATAATGACCTAAATCTCTGAAACTGTGAGCCAGCCCCACTGAAATGTTTGCCTTTATAAGAGTTGCCATGGTCATGGTGTCTCTTCACAGCAATGGAGCCTTAACTAAGGTAGGTGCTACTAGAGGGCCCCAGGTGCTCTTCATTCTGTAGGTTGTGTGCTTGACATCTAGATCAAGTGTGGAAATGAACAAGAGACTCCTTCAACTCCTGGTCTCTCATCTTTTAAGCTTGTGGCACAGTACTTTGTTTGTGCATGGGTATGAGTGAGTGCATGTCCAAGACCAACTCTGCCCTAAGATATGCAAAGAAAATGACCCAGAAAATACCATGGGGGTGTGTGTATGCCATCTGCCTGGAACCTATTAACATGGCTGCTAAAGGTGTCATAGCTAAACATAGATTAGGGAGACCAACCTCTCCTCACGGTGCTGGGCAGGAATAGAGCAGTACTGAAAGAGCTATTAAACTCTGCTAAAACCAGCATTAATGTGAACACTATTGTTGAGTATTCTTTCTGGTGCTTATTTTCCTATGAATGAACATATATGCTGGAGGATAGGGTGATGAGATTCCTTTTGACAACTCTTAGACTCTCCCTGGTACTCTGTTTGGGCTGCCTTGAGCCAGGACTAGCTCCTCTGAGCATTTTATAGGCATCTTTGGGAATCTATGTTTCTGGTGCAGCTGCAGCAAGACTCCAGCTTGAGAAGATGTGGCCCTCATCATGACTATTTACAGGCTGTCTCAGCCTGTTTGCTATCACAGGGCTCAATGAACTCTAAATGATCCAGACCCAGATAAGTACTAAGCCCGGGGCCTTGTATATACTGGGCAAGTGCTCTACCACTGCTCCCAGGCCCTCAGACTTTGCTTCTTTGAGACAAGAGTCTTCCTGCTTCTAACTCCTAAGTACAGGGTACAGTATTTACCATGATGCCCAGCCAACACGTGGCTTTTTTGTGAGTAGCTTCCTTCATGTAACATTTTCAATATTTTATGAGTATATTATATTTTGTTTACATGTTTATCAGACAAGTTGATTCCACTTTTTGGCTGTCATGAAGAATGCTGCATAAGTTTTTGCTTGGCTATATGTTTTAATGGCTCTGATTTATATTTTTTTGTGAGTTGAATTTGTAGGGTCATAGGTCAATATATCTAATATTATTATATTACTGCCAAGCTGTTTGTTGGCTGTTGCTTTTGCATCTTTTGCTTTGAGCATGATAACTATAAGGAATAAATCGCTAAGACTTCTGCTTTAAAATGGAATCAGAGAATGTCTGTCTTTAAGAGGCTTATTCTTCACATTAAATATGATTACTTTTAACACTGGTTTCAGTTGTTCAGATTTCTCTCTTTGGCTCTTTTAAATTATTCTATTATAAAGGTTATTCTTGTTTTCTTCTTGAGTCAGTGTTGGTATTGAAAACTTCTGTTTTAATCTGTTCTTGTTACATTGTTGCCTTTCTCTGGAATTTGTTAGGCTCTCCTTTCCTGTTAAATATTTTTAAATCATAACAAAGTGTTTCCCATAAGAAGCCTCATATCAGGTAATAAAAACAACTCATATCTAGAAAAGTACAAAAGGAACATGGGCAAAATGACTGTAGCAACAATAAAAACCAATTGCAAGTCGATACTGACACAGCCTACCCTCAACAAACTGGCAAATAGGAAATGATGGTCCACAAGCTCTAAAGGAAACTACGCAGTGCTCACCAAAAATAGAACTGCCACATGATCCAGCAGTCTCACTTCTGCATAGCTACTCAAAAGAAGACAAGTGTTGTTTAGGAGATATTTGTGCTTTCTTTGTCACTGAGGCATTACTCCTATTAGCCATGACATGAGCTCCATCTGAGCTTCTACCATATGAGCAAAAAGGAAAGGACAGTGTGGAGTACACACAGTACAACATTCGACAGCTAGAAGAAAAAAAATCCATCCTGCATGACAACATGAGTTCACTTGGAAAATTCTCTGTTTAATGTCAGGCATAGGAATTCAAATACCAATTGACTTCATACAGAGATGAGATCTAAAAGTGTTGGTTTCACAGAAGGAGAAAACAAAGTCGTGGCTACCGGAAGTTGGGAGATTAGATGGGGTGAAATGTAAGAAAGATGTTGGTCAAAGGATACACAATTTCAGTCAATCAGGAGGAATTAAAATAAAAGACCTACTGTTCATAATGATGACTATTGTTAATAAGATGATGTTCTCCAGTGCATTAATAGCTCAACTTGTTAGACTTATGATGGTCCAAATATATATACCAATACTAGCACTGTTTGTCCCTTTCCATATTATTTTAATAAAACACATAATATAAAAATAGATACCATGTCAGATAATTTTGCCAAAAATCGGCTAGTGTTAGTGGTCTGAGTATGTTTGATAAGTTAGGTAAAGCTAGTCTAGCTCATCTACCAAATATACAGCATAAACATATGGATAAAAGATAAATGTTAGCTCACAGTTTGAGAGGTTCTGGTTGACAGGCCAACATGGGTGAGGTGTAGAGGAGGAGGAGGAGGAAAAGGAGGTAGAGGAGGAGAAAGAGGTTGTGCACCATTTTGGGGATGAGGAGCAGAAAGGAGGTGGGATCAGGCAAGAGCCAAGGCTAACATTCCCCCAAGGACCTGTACACAATGGCCTACTTCTAGTTAGGTACCTTCTCCTAAGCATCTATAACCAAGTTCCCAAAACATGAACATTTAGGGGAGACACTTCATATTCAAACTCTTATGTTTGACCTCTGACCTCCAAAAGGCTCATGTCACTCTCATAATGCACAATGCATTCAGTCAAGCTCTATGAGTTCCTACAGTCTTAACAGCCCTAGTATTATTTAAAAATCAAGTCCCAGGAATCTAGAGGGTGATATATTGGGAATATGGAACATGAAGCGGTCACTTCCTGTAACCAGGTTAGACTTAAATTTCCAAAGGAGGGATGGGGTACCCACCCAGCCAGAAAACCTCTGACCCACAATTTATAGGAGGTCCAGGGATAAAGAGGGAGCAGAAAGTGAGGGAATGGCCAACCAATGCCTGGCCCAACTTCAGTCTCATGCCATGAGAGAGCCCACCCCTGACACTACTTGCAGACAGGAACCTAACATAGCTGCCATCTGAGACGCTTCACCAGGCAGCTGTTGGAAACAGATGCAGAGACCCACAGCCTAGCAGAGCTCGGGGAATCTTGTGGAAGAGATGAAGGAAGGATTGAAAGAGCCAGAGAGGTCAAAAACACTCCAAGAAAACCTACAGAATCAACTCACCTGGGCCCAGAGGGGCTCACGGAGACTGAACCAGCAACCAGAGAGCATGCATGGGACAGACCTAGGCCCCCTGCACACATGAACAGATGTGCAGCTTGGTCCTCATGTGGGACCTCTAACGGCAGGAGCAGGGGCTGTCTCTGGCTGTAGCCTGCCTGTGGGTCCCTTTCCCCTTAACTGGACGGCCTTGTGTAGCCTCAGCAGAAGATGCTCCCAGTCCTAATTCAACCTGATATGCCAAGGTGGGTTGATATCCATGGGAGGTCCCCCCTTCTCTGAGGAGAAAGGGAGGGGATATGAGGGCTGTGGCTGAAGAGTGAAGACGTAGTTTCATCACTGTGACTGGGGGCGGGGGGAACTCACTTTTTGTAGCTCTATTTAAGTGCATGATTTCAATCAAAGCTTCCAGAATCCTGCACAGAGTTATGACAGCTGTCAAGCCCTGCACTGGATACGACAGAAAATTGCTATGAGTTTTCAGAAACTTGACCCCTTCTGGAACACTTTTTTTCATCATTGTTCCAAGGTACTCCATTCCTTGTTTACTTAAGGTTCTTGAAGTTTTCACAAGCCATGATTTAACATAAGGCTCCCATCCCAGATCAACGGGGTCCTAGTAATGAAAAGCAGAAGAAAATTTTATGTAAATAAAAATATGGCATTAAAAAAATACTTCATCACCCACCTCATGGTTAGATTCAGTACTAGTTAAAGCTAAAACAACAACAACAATAAATCACCATTTTCTGGTCTGTGATTTCTTTTTTAAATTAATTTATTTTTTATTAATTATAGTTTGTTCACTTTGTATCCCAGCTATATAGCCCCTTCCCTCATCCCCTCCCAATCCCACCTTCCCTCATCTCCTCCCATGTCCCTCCCCAAGTCCATTGATAGAGGAGGTCCTCCTCCTCTTCCCTCTGACCCTAGCCTATCAGCTCTCATCAGGACTGGCTGCATTGTCTTCTTCTGTGGCCTGGTAAGGCTGCTCCCTCCTCAGGGGAAGGTGATCAAAGAGCCAGCCACTGAGTTCATGTCAGAGATAGCCCCTGTTCCCATCACTAGGGAACCCACTTGGAGACTGAGCTGCCATGGGCTACATCTGTGCAGGGGTTCTAAGTTATCTCCATGCATGGTCCTTGGCTGGAGTATCCATCTCAGAAAAGACCCCTGGGCCCATATTTTTTTGGTTCTGTTGCTCTCCTTGTGGAGCTACTGTCCCCTCCAGTTCTTTCTATCTCTCCCCTTTATTTTATAAGATTCCTTGCACTCTGCCCAAAGTTCGGCTATGAGTATCAGCATCTGCTTTGATACCCTGCTGGGTAGAGTCTTTTAGAGGCCCTCTGTGGTAGGCTCCTGTCCTGTTCCCTGTTTTCTCCTCCTTCCAGTGTCTGTCTGTTTACCTTTCTGAATGAGGATTGATCATCTTAGTCATGGTCTTCCTTCTTGCTTAGCTTCTTTAGGTGTACAGATTTTAGTATGTTTATCCCATATTATATGTCTAATATCCAGTTATGAGTGAGTATATACCATGTGTGTCTTTCTGCTTCTGGGATACCTCACTCAGGATGATCTTTTCTAGTTCCCACCATTTGCCTGTAAATTTCATGATTTCCTTGTTGTTAATTGCTGAGTGTTATTCTACTGTGTTTTAAATGTACCACAGTTTCTGTTATCCATTCCTCAGTTGAGGGACAGCTGGGTTGTTTCCAGATTCTGGCTATTATGAATAAAGCTGCTATGAATATGGTTGAACACATGTCCTTGTTGTATACTTGAGCATGTTTTGGATATGTGCCTAGGAGTGGTATAGCTGGATCTTGAAGATTATAAATTCAAAAGAAAACTTTTGGGGACTTGAGACAAAGAGAAGCTGGGGAAAGCAGCTGGTCAGCTGAGGCAGAGTCAGCTCTCATCCTAATTGGTGTCCCAAATTAGGCGGATTAGAGAAGAGAGCCAATCACCACTGCTAATGAGTTTCATGTGATCGAATTTTTGGGGTTGTTTTCTACTTCCATACCACTGTCTTGGTAATGTTTTCTCCAAGTTCAGAGAGTCATATAGTAAAAAGGGCTTCAGGGCAATCTTTCTTTTGTTGGCAAAATAATTTGTATCAATACCCTGACCTGTCTGTCAGAAATACTGATGTTGTAGCTTCCCAGTGTAGAATTAATGACAGTACTACTTCTAGATTATGAGGCTTTGGGGGGGGTGTAGTGTGATTTATCTGTGTGCCTGGCCCTTCAAAGACTCTCCAGTTGCTGTCAACTGGCCTTTTGGGAATTTTTAGCCATCGGAACTGCTTGACTCTTGGATTTCTAGGAACATGAAAGAAAAATAAATAAATAAAAAGCCAGCAGAGGCTGGGAGAGGAGATTGAGTAGGGTTAGAGAAGAGAAGGCAGTTGGTGCAAGTGGACCAGCATAGTGAGAGGAGAAGGTAGCTGGGACAGAAGATGTTGTTAGGAGACAGCTGATTCAGGAGAAGCTGAGCAGATAGGCTACAACAGTGGTTATTGTTTGGAGCTGCAGTATTGGGAAAACTGGGAGAAGGGACTGGCTAAACAAACTGTTGGATGAATGGTTGGGAAAGAAATTAGACTGAGCGATCTACCCCCCCCACCCCCCATCCTTCTTTCTCTCCTAGCTAGTGTTAGGAGGCGAAACCAGGGAGACAAAGAAGAACCCACAAAGTAGCAAAAGACCAGCTACAAGTGACGCGCAAGGCGGGAACACAGAGCTTCTGAGCTCCTGGGGTCACTCCTCTGAGAGTGGAAGTGAAAGGGCAGCACGGCTTCCCCACGCGCCACCGCCCTTCTGTCGAGGGTCGGGTTCTGAGAGCTCACCAAGTACACGACTGCGCACCGCGTGATGGTCGCAGGGGTGGTGTGACAGAGTGAGTCCACCTCAAACAACACTCTGATCTTGTTAGTCAGGACGATCCTTTCGCTGTTGGCCAGGCACAGCGTTCGCGTCTCATCCAGCACAGTGTTCAGATTTTCTATCCACAGGGGGTCGGCTGGGCCATCTAAAACAATCCACTGCCAATCAAAGTCTGGGAAGAAAAAATATTTTTAATGTAGCTAAGACTAAGCTCAGATTTCTTCCATTACAATCTTGAAAGATCAGTTTCCTTTTTGTGTGTGTATCTGTATGTGTGATACGTGTGTGCGTGTGTGTTATGTGCATTTGCATGCACACGGGCATACATGTATGAAGGTGTATATGCATGCCTGTGCACGTGTGTGGAGGGTCAAAGTTGACGTCAGGTGTCTTCCTCGGTCATTGTTCCCTTTTATTCACGAAGCCAGGGTCTCTTGCTTGCTAATTCCTGCTGACCTGCCTGTCTCTGCATGCTGAGTGTTGGGATGGCAGATTCATATGTACCTGGCTTCTTACTTAGGTCCTGGGGATCTGAATTCCAGTCCCATGCAAGTGTGGCAAGTACTTTATTGACTGAGCCATCTCCCAAGCCTCTAGGAAATATTTCCCCAAGATAAAAACATCGTCCAAGGAAACATTAGAGTGAGTGCCTATGTTACTCTGGAGCCTGTGCTGGACTTTAATAAATTAGATTAATGCATGCATGCACACACACACACACACACACACACACACACACACACATATTCCAGTATTCATTATTGCTTTAAGTACTTTCTAGACATTCTTAGATTGCTGAAATGCATAATTAACCCTCAAAATCTGGGAAAACAAATGGGTGCATATTTGTTAGATAATGTTTTTGTGCACCGTGAATTCAAATGCTGATTTCTGCAAACAGAGACCTGGTTGCAGTCCTGACTTTGGTATTGTAATTATTCTGAAGCATCTCCCATCTTGATATGCTGTGAACATTGTTCTCCATCACCTTCTGATTGATTTATAAAGAAAGAGATGAATGAACAGTCAATAGCTGGGCAGAAGAGGATAAGGTGGGACTTCTGAGCTCAAGTAGAGAGTCTCAGGTGGGGAACTAGAGAGAGAGAGAGAGAGAGAGAGAGAGAGAGAGAGAGAGAAAGAGAAAGGGAGGGAGGGAGGAAGGAGTAGCCATGAGGACATGGATGGAACAGCCAGGGAGAGACTAAGATGGCAGGTAAGAGGCCATGCGGCTGGGAAGCAGGTCAGGCCAGCATAGCCAGGTTAGAACAGCTCCGTATCTGCCCAGCTGTGGTGCCTGAAGATGTTAATAAATACAATAGGTCTCCAGGAGCTAGGGCAGGCATAGGAAAAAAATCCTCAATTTCATACACTTATTTTCTCATACTATAATTTGTGAATCTGCATCATCTGCTTAGGAATACTATTTAGGTGTGCTGTTTCTAAGCACTATCAAGGGAAAAAATCAATGAATCAAGCAGAGAGTTTAAACAGTATCACACTCAGAACCCATTCACCCCCTTTCCCACACCAGGTAGTCTTTTTGTACTGAGGTGACACAGTATCCTTGACTCGGCAGCTTATAAACAATACTCAAGCACCTTTCACAGCTCTGAAGGCTTGAAGGCTAAGATCTAGGTGCTGCCAGATTGTTTGGTAAGAGACAGCTTCTTGGTTCAAAGAGGGAACCTTCCTCTTGCTGTATGGTCACATGATGGAAGCCTTTCCCTTGAACCTCTTTTCCAAGAACACTAATCCCATTAGTAGGGCCTGCGTGTGTGCACTAATTCCACCCAGAAGGGAACATCCGCTCTTTGTCCTCTGCCTTCCCTACGGCCCCACCTTCTAAGGTCATTGGCTCCAGGGTTGGGATTTTAACATGCACACTTGGGGAAGAGGGCATAGACATTCAGAACACAGCGCCGCACACTGTGCTTACCACCGTGCTCAATGATTTTAGAGTCCTCATCAGCCAGGGTAAGGGGGTCTCTCTACAGACAGGAGACAGCTAAGCACCTGGAAGACCTTCAGATGTCCTCAGTGAAGCAGAGGGAAGAGGAAGGGTCCAGATCAACACTGCTGAGAAGGCGGAGACCATGGGCTCTATCCGCTTAGCCCTTACCCTACAACCTCATAAGGAAGCCTAACTCTACCCAGTCGTACCTTCCTCAAAGTTATCATTTCAAACTCCAGGAAAAGTCCTTTTTAGAGTGTGGGTCACACAGGGTTAGCGTCCTGCTGGCGGAAGGGCTGCTATGAGGCTCAGTCTGGGATAGGAGAGGGCGGCTGAGGCTCTGCCAGCTCAATGGCAGCTCCTGTGGAGCAGGGGCTGTATTTATATGCCCACCCCATCATCTGAGACAAATCTGCTGGGACGGAATCACTTAGCTGAAAATGTACAGACGGTTTGGTGTTGCCGTTCAGAGACGGGAGGCTGCCACTGCTGTTTCTCCTATCACTATTTCTACCGTTAATACAACTTTGGCCCTAATTATTTATAAACCAAAAGGCCACTTAATCTCTAGTGGTTTTCTGTGTCATAATAAGATATGTGCGTACTGTAGGATTGTGGTGGGCAGACCAGAAATTTTAAGGAACCACACAAAGAAGTGGTAAATTGTATAGAGGTAAAGAATGAAAATATTACCAGTCAAAAATGCAAACAATACAATTTATGTTGGCTCAAAACTTACCTTCTATATTAATCACTTAGACTACATTTAATAGTAACACTTACTATGACTTTCTGGAATTTTAGCATCTTTTTCTACTTCCCTCATAAAAACACTGTTGTCGATATCTGCTGTAGAGGATGAACCAACCTGGAAAATCTAAATTATATAATGAACAATCAAGATGAGGTATTGTGCTAGCATTTTTCTGTCTTTGTCATCACTACCAAGGAACTACCATTTTAATATAGGCTTTTATAATTTAAAAATGTTTTCCCTAAGCCTCACAGTAAATACAAAGCAAAAAGGTGAATTTAGCAAGTCATTGCAAACAATGCTTACATGTAAGCATTGTTTGCAATGAAAAATCCAGTATCAGAGCCATCAGGTACATAGAACAAATATGAATAGACCTCAAGGCTGAAGGATTCTAGTCCACTAATAGAAAGGGACTTTAATACTCTGCTTTCACCACTATCAGGTCATCCAGGTGCAAAATTAGCAAAGAAACGGCACAGATAAACTGCTCCAAAGGACCATGTGCTCCAGAACAGCCTATCCGACAGCTTATAGGAAGGAGCTCATTCTTCCCACTGGCATGAGGAACACCCGCTTCAATAGTTCATGCCTTTGCCGAGAGCCAGCAAGTTTTGAAAGATAATCATAGTGAGTATTGGTGACCACACTGCAATATCTGCAACAACCAAGACCTTATAAACCACGTGCACACATGGAACTTAACAGCTTTGATTTTAATATAGAACCTCTCTGACCTGGAACTTTCCATGTGTCTAGACCATGCTGCCTTGAACTATCTAGCCACCTCTGCCTCCTGGGCATTGGGATTAACAGTGTGCAACACCACGCCTAGTGTAATTTAGGCTTTAAGAGCGACAGGATGACTGAGCATGGTGATGCAGGCCTGCCATCTCAGCTACTTGGGATGCCAGGGCAGAAGGATGACAAGTCGAGGCCAGCCTGGAAAACTTAGTGAGATCCTGTCTCAGAAAAGGAAGAACAGTGCAGACGTGTCTCTTGGTGGTAGAGTTTGTCAGTCACGCACAGGGCCCTGAGTTCAATCCCAGTTCTGCTCCCTCAGAAAACTGGCTCTTCAAAGACACAAGCAGAATCAACAAACCTTTAGCTGAGTTAAAGGAGAGAGAGCGAGAGAGAGAGAGAAAGAAGACTTACTTGACATTAGAGATGAAAACTGAGCCATCACAACAGATAAAACAGATTAATAAAAATTAAAAACAAAATGCCAATATACCTGAAAACAAACTAACAAAAGATGACAAACTCTTAGACACATGAACCTTAATCAGGAAGAAACAGGAAACAGTGAAAAACCAATAAGGAACAACGAAACTGAATCAGAAATAATGATGAAAAAAGTGTAGGACCAGATAGCTTCACTGCAGATGAGAAGGATACTAGTTCTCTTTCACATATGATAAAAAACTAGAGAGAAAGGAATTCCTCTGGCTCATTCCATGAGACCAAACTGACAAGAACACAATGAAACAGAAGTCAATGGGCCAATGACCTTCATCAAAACATGTGCACAATTCTTAAGCAAAACACCAGCAACCCAAATAGAATACTCTACATAAAGGACTTAGCTAGGATCAAGAGAGATACAGCCAGACAATGCAACATGGTTTACCTCAGAGAAATCAAACTCGATACATGCCATCAACAAAACAAAGCACAAAAACGTATGATCCCAATAGATTTTTAAAAAAGGCATTTGGCAAAATTCAGAATACCTTTATGATAAAATGGAAAAGAGTCCACAAAGAATATGCTGCTAAATGTATTTCAGAGTTTGGGACAATATAAATGGCTCCTATGGTAGACAGGAAACTCACAACTTTTCATATAGAAAGTATCTTCTTACTAATATAAAAATATAGCATCAGATTAACAAAACTATCTCTTTAAATGACTAGGAACTGATTTTCAAATCAAAGGAATACTTATGTAGAAATCTGAACACGTCTAGTCATTCCTTGGTGCCTATAGAGGAAACTGTTTCTAAGAAGCCCCAGAAAATACCAAGGCATAAGAATGCTTGCATACCCTATGTAAAATGACAAGGTATTTATATGTGACCTACACACACCTTCATGTCTATATTACTCGACCTAACACAAGTTAAAGGTCAGATGAGAGGTTGTTAGACTGTTTAGGAAATAATAAGGAAGAGTCTGTACACACTTAGTACAGACACCATTTCATTCCCAGGCAGTTTGGACCTATATTTAGGTGACTCTACAGAGGTGAAACTCATGAATACTGAGGCATAATTATATTCTCAAAATTGTTCTAAATTATGTTTGTATATTACTTTATGAGCTAGTAAAATGCAGACAGTTTTCTATCCTTGCTAACCCTTTGGCTTCAAATATCTTTTTGCTTATAGCTTACCTACTGAAAATTACCGATAGTCCTACTATTAGTTATAAGAACACATTTTCTTGTCACTTATATTTACTATTTAACAAATTTTGCATCATTTTAAACAAAACTATCTTCATTTCTTTAATTTGCTAGACATATTAGTAATACTGTATCAGGTTTTTCTCCATTTTAGTCTTAATTCTCTTTGCATTCCTTTTAATACAATTATCTTCAACTTTATTCTATGGTTTACTGAATATTTAGAAACTCGATAATGCATTTTTATTTTTAATAATATAACTTAAAGTTACAAAACTGTTTATAATACTTTTCACATGAATAGGTGGCTAATAATGTTTTAATAAATAACTTGAACTATGAAACTGTCTATATTAGTCAAAGGAAAATACTAAATTCCATTCTACACTTACATTAGATATATCTGCGATTCCTGACAATAGTCCATGAGCACGCTCTCTCTTGGAGAAATCTGCAGTGCTAACATAATCTCGAATTGCTGCTGATAATAACCCATCACGCCATTCCATGGTATTAATGTCCAGATATCCATAAAGTTCTCTAAGAGTGACACATTTTGGATTCAAAACACAGACATCTACTCTTCCTTTTTTTCCTGTAAACTGGGAGTAGGAGGTAGGAAATCCAAAGTTGATTTAAAAGTTAGTTACAGTACAATTATTTAATTTTTTTGCACAGTTGTTACCAATGGGGTTTAGGAGGTATCTTTTACATCAAACAAAACATCTCTATAAAGGTAGTAATTACAAGACACAGTAAAAACTGACTTGCATTTAAAAATTTCTAAATAACACAAGTAGCTACCTCAAGAAAAGAGGTCTCTGTGAGCTCCATGTGGAGCAGAGGCTCTGGCTGGGATGGCATGCTAGGGGCCAGAGTGAGTGTGGTGCGCCCGGGAAGGGGCGCACTTTAGGTCTGCCTGGGTATTAGCCACAAAATCTTAACTTACTTTGGCTGCTCCTGAACTGTTCTCTGTTTACCTCTTTCAGATTTAAGCAGGGCAAGGGTCAGATATATTGCCAGAAAACACATACTCACATACTGCAAAGTAAGAGGTTATGGGTACAGAAATACAAGTGGTGGGAATCTGGGAAGTTAAGATAGTAAAAACCCAGCTGTGGACACAGAGGTACTACGAGAGTTGCATGTAAGAGAATGTATGCAGCTGGTGCAGTTCAGTGGAAAAGACCAGAACTAACACATACTATTGAGGCCAAGATGGCATCAATCCACACTAACTAGTATGCAGTATGATGTAACAATTTGCTACGGCATCTTAAAAAAACAACAACAGAGTAGGTGGCTTAAACATGATATTTTTTCCATCCTTCTGAAGACTAGAAGACCAAGGTGGAAGGACAACAACTGTACTGGGTTAGGGCTGTCCCTCAGAGCCTCATTTTAACTTCGACTCTGCTTGTTTCCCACTGCACTGTGAGTCAGGGACTCAGCACCTAAGTTTTAGGGGAACATGATGTAGTACTTGAGGCCACAATTCACATTCAGTAATAGCTAGGACTTACACGTTTTCAAATAATTGCTATAGTACAATATAAATCACAACTTTTATGTTTACATTTTCACCTCGAATTGTGTGACCCAAATGGATCCCATTCCTTTAAAACTTTCACAAATACCCTATAATAACCCTATACTGTGTATTTTTAACTTCTTTTTACTATGCTTATTTATTTCGCGAATGTGTGTGAGCACCATTGTGCTCAGGACAGCCTGTAAGAGTCACTTCTCTGGTTTCACCTTGTGGGTCATAGGGATGGAACCCATATCATCAGGTTTGGTGGCAAACAACTTTACTCTTGGAGCGACCCTGTGGGCACATTCTGTGTTTTCCTTCTTGATGAGCTGCCACGGCTTCTTCACCCTACTTGTACCGTTCAACCACGTCCAGGGCAATGTTTTAACAGTAGCGGTGAAAATGGACTTGTCTCACTTGGTTGTAGGAGAAGCTCCCAGCCCGTCACCACATGAGTATGTGCAAGCTGCGGCTTTTCCATAAACTCCCCTGTCGTGTTGGGGAGTTTCCTGCCCTCTTTTTTTAACCACAAAGGGAAATGAAATGCTAACCATCACATCCCTTTTCTGTGATTTGATATGATCCTGTGGCCTCTTCCTCTTGTTTTATTATCATATGTACCACACTAAGTTAATGCTGGACTACTCTTGTATTCCTGGAGTGAATCTCACTTAGTTTTGGTTTATAACGATTCACTTCTCATCAGTGACAATTATTGCTTAAGAACTCATTGAGAACCGTTTAGAAGAGGAATTTATAAAAAATGATAAGAATTAGAAACTGTAACATGAACAGTTCCGGTAAAGAAATTTCATACTAAGAGAAAAAAAACTCCATGTAACCAAGAAGCCGACTCTTTAAGATGCTGGAGTATACTGTCATCAATGAAATCCTCAAATAACTGAAGTTCACGTGGTATAGTGGCGTCTTATTTTATACTGCATTAATACGCAATATAAGCTCTCAGGAATCCACAGACAGCTAATATTTATTAATAGTAATAAATATATCAAGTCCAGCATATTACACCAATGAGCTAAAAGATGAAACAGAGACTAACAATCATTATCTTTTATGTGCATGGGTGTTTGGCTTGCATGAGCGTCTCTGTACTGTGTGCATGGCTGTGCCTGTAGAAGCCAGAAGAGGGTATCAGCTCCTCTGGAACAGCAGTTACAGACACTTGTGAGCTGCCATGGGGATGCTGGAAATTGACAACACATTCTTTGAAAGAGCAGCCAATACTCTTAAGTGCTGAGCCATTTCTCCAGCTCCCTAACAATCATTAGCTAAGTTCCAATCACTAAAAATCCAAAGTTGTAAGGAAAAGAAACTTATAAATATGATGAAAATTTTCTAGAAAAAAGAATAAATTAATAGGCATAATGATAACATCATATTGAAATATTAAATGAATTTCAGGTAAAATAAGGAATAAAAACTATACATGATATTATCTTGGAGGGTTAATCAACTTAATTACAGAAGAAAAATCATATAAATATTGGAAAAGAAGTATAATTATTTTTATTTGAAGATGATTGAATTGATACTCAGAAATCAGTTGGATTCAGTAAAATAGCTAAATACAAAACATAGAAGTTAATCGTTTTATTTTACATTCCTCATCACCAGTTTGATATCTAAATTTCAAAATTCTTACTACAATAATTTCTTACTACAAAAATCCTAGCAATAAATCTGGTAAGTAGTTAAATGCATATGTAGAAGGAATAGATATGTATACGAAAGCATAAGCTATCACAGATGACAACGACCTTAATCAGTAGGTATCTACCTTTGACTCAGATTTCCACTCTTTAAGTACTAACATTTCGGCAACTGGAAGCGCTATTAACGCTTTCTCCAAAATTCTCCTGATTGTTGTCTTCCCTCCACACGTTGGGCCCACTAGCATCACACCAACACAAGCCTAAAACGAAATCCAGAAAAGTGTACTGAGGAAGTATTTTTTCAAGTGTCTCTTCACATACATCTCTGCCTGGACCCATCCACTTTTCTTTCATATAATCGTTCAATCCACTGTAATCTGACCTCTGGTTTATTGTACAGGCTAACGCTGAGGCGAGAGGAAATACCCCAGCCAGAGAGTACTTTTTAATTATTGGTGCTCAACACTTTCTTTTGCTTTCCCAATTTCCCTCTTCCTTGTGGCTTTCTGAACTACTGAGCTGTGTGACAATGAGTTTCCTCTTTATTTTTTCTTTTTCTTTCCGTGGTAGACTTTCCTCAGTCATTCTTGTTGTTCTCTCTCCTTTGCTGTTGTATTTAGTCTCATCACCTTGACCTTAAGTATGACCAGCATCTAGTGGTTTTCTAATCTATACATTTTTCTCAGTCTCTACTTTTACTAAATGTTTCCATCCCGATGTCTCATAAACTTCTCAACTTAGCATAACCTTTCTTTTGTTCCAAACTTGATCTCTCTCTTTCCCTGTCTTTCTCTCTCTCTCTCTCTTTTTTTGAGATAAGGTTTCTCTGTGTAGCCTTCGTTGTCCTGGACTCTCTTTGTAAACCAGGCTGGCCTTGAACTCACAGTGATCTGCCTGCTTCTGCCTCCCTGAGTGCTGAGGTGAAAAGCATGCACCACCACGCTAAGCTTTATCATTCATCTCTTTCAAGACATTTTCTTGATCTAGCTCTAATATTTGGGGGAGGGACTCCCATGATGTAGTTATTAATAGCCTTATAAGCAGAACAAAGGGTAGGAGTTTAGTCTGCAATAAAATGCCCACCTACAATCCTCATTTAAATCTCCAGTACCACACAAATACAAAATAACAAGAAGAGGAAGAAGAAGAGGAGGAAAAAGGAAGAGGAGGAAGAGAGGGAGAAGGAGAAGAACTAGTAGAAGAAGAGGAAGAAGAAGAAGAAGAAGAAGAAGAAGAAGAAGAAGAAGAAGAAGAAGAAGAAGAAGAAGAAGAAGAA